TATAAGAAACAGTCTTTCTACTTGATTAGAAAAAGAACATTCAATAGGAAGGTTCATTTGAGGGCAGGGTATTTGCCCCTAGTGTTTGATTACTATTACAGAAGCTAATCAATCTGAAGATTACTGGTGTACCTTAAAATTACAAATGACTAAAGTTTTAAACAATTCTTGGTTAGCTAAAATGATGATTTTTATTCTCTCAATAAACTAGTTTCCCCTGGATAATGCAACAAAAGCATGGTTACTGTAATTTTATTTGGCATCGGTATAACCTGAGAAAATCTTGAGTTCTTGGGTTCTGTGCTGGGGGATGTTGGGCTGTTTTTTTTAATTGGGGGGGGACTGCTGCTGATCATGTGGTGACACTAGGAGGGGGTTGTGTGCATAATTGTGTTCAAGGCTTCAACAACCCACAGATTGCTGACACACAGGTGACATAAAGAAAGACAAAATCTAGCGCTCTGCAGTGAAAATGAAGTCCTTTTTTCACTGTTATTAACATCAGCTCGTGATAAGATTCTGACAGCCTGTGCTTAGTCCTCACACCCTACTCCTCCACAGTCACTTGTGGTTTACTAATCGGGTGAAACATATAGAAAGATTTTTTGGAATGACAGAAAATGGTCAATGTGTTTTTTTGTTTGTTGTTGTTCTCCCTTTTCCTCAAACTAACTTTCACGTATTATTTTTGTTTCTTTACAGATGGCCAAGATGGGCTGAATGGCCTTCTCTCATTACACACTGTTGTTATGTTCTTATTCAAGCCCTGAACACCTTTACTTGTCAGAAGATTCTCCGCCTATAGGCTTGCACACCTGAACTATGCTTCCCTACTCAAGAGCAACGTATTGGCAAGTGAAAGAGAAACATTAACAGAGAGGCTGTGGGGTCTTGAATGCTGTGGGTATTGACTATGAACATCAGATTTATCTTCAGTTGCTGTAATATTAAGCAGTGCCTTGCATATAGACCTGTGTATGGGCCTATGTTGGAAATGTGTATGGGCTTGTGTATGGAACAGTGTATGGACCTTATACGGACCTGCGTATGGACCAGCGTACAGTATGTGCCTGTGTATGGAACAGTGTATGGACCTTTGTTGGACCTATGTAAACCTGTGTATGAACCGCTGTATGGACCAATACATCCACCTGTGTATGAGCACAGGGCTTTGCATGATGAAATGAAGCATAAGCAACATCTGTAAACTATCTAGTTCTGCCAAAACCATACTAATCACAATCTAGTCAAACACAATACAGAAGAAAACAATCCATCAATAGCCTCTGCCAAGCCTGTTACAACATTATCATTACTCAACAAAAACTATTTCCAAAATGTTGTCAAAGTTTTTGTTTTTAGTCAACTATTTAGTTGTAACATGTTTTGACGTCGACAACGATCAAATAAGTTGCCTTCAAAATGAAGGCAGCTTATTTGAAATGACTGATGTCCCACAGTAAAACAAAACAGAGAACCTACAGTACTGTAAATTCTTCACTGGTTTGGTCAGAGGAAAAAACATTCCCTAGACTAAATTCAGGTTAGAAAAGCTTTGAGTAATGGAGCAAAATGTGATGTTTCTCTCATTGATAAACATAGCAAAAGATAAGAAACTTACAGTAAGTGGTTGAGACTTAGCAGTTCTTATCTTGAGAACAGCTGAGAAAAAAACTACTCACTTCAAGGCAATTCAGCTCAACCTGTTAAACATTCCCCTGCAAAATAACAAAGGAGGACTCAAACTAAAAAAAAAAAGAAAAACAAAATCCCCCTCCCCAAGGGAAAAAAAACAGGCTTTCAGGGTGCTGAATTGTTTTCATCCAATAAGATACTCTGCAAAGAAATGTAGGGGCAGATTAGCAATGTATTTTTAATGATGGAAAGTGTGGACCATAGTCTGCAGAGAAACCAAAGACCATAGGGATCAATTATTTAGGCAGCACTGTACAATAACCAGTGCACGCAAATGATTAAAACGAGTCTCAGACTAGTCACTTCTCCGCTTAGAACTAATACTGCCAGCACAATGTTACAATGTTACAATGTCACAATACTGCCTATTCCCTAGTCATAATACCAAACAGGGACTACAGCCGTAAGAAAATAGGGCCAGGAACAATTATATGAATAACTTTATGCTCCACAGACAGTACTCAGCATTGAATACAACGTATTAACAAAATACTTAACAAACTGAACGTGTCTTTAAGATGGTCATTAGAAACAAGAAGGTTTTATCCTGAATTGAAATGAGACAGACCACTGTATCAGAGGTGTTTGTAATGCTTGGATGCTGAAATATTTCACTTCTGGTCGTTCCTACTGTAGATCTCCAATCTCACAACTCCTGCGGCTACAAGAAAAAGAGCAGAAACAAATATGTTTGAGTTAGGACTCAGGATACAGAACATGTTTTCCATTTCTTGAACAGCTGTTCATTTTGCTCCTTGTTTCTTCTTATGTTGATTTTGAGGTTCATTTGTTAAAATTGAATGCCTGGCTCCGTCTTATCTGATCTGTCAGTTACATGTATATCCATATTGCTTGCTCCATAAATCCTAGTTAGCCGTAAGAAGTACTGACCGCTCCCAGAGAGAAATTCTGACTCAAGACTTCTGCTTTAAAGACAGTACAATCGATGATACACAGCACATATAACACACTGGGGAGAATTCCACACTAAATTCTCTGTATCGATGCACTGTATCGAATTGTGCTGCATGAATACACAACAACCCTTAAGAGAATAAACCAGAAACGTATTGTATAGAAACGTCCCATTTCTCTACACAATAGGATATCTACGCGTAATGGGAGAATCAGTGCTGCATGAAGTTTTTTTTTTTAATCTAGGTTTAAAACTGAACAGCATTAAGTTCTCAGCTGAGAACATTGACTTTTATTGGAGCATTTTCTCTGTGTTCTGTGTCCTAACAACCTCTGCCCTATTCGCTTCCGGCTACGCCGTGAGGTCGCAGAGTGTTTTCCTATTTTTTGGCGTGTCACCAGGTAGTCTCAGCTGAAGTTACACCTACTAGGTAGAGTTACGGTGTTTTTAATTTTCGTTTTTAAACTACCATAATGTACCAGCTGTAGGCAACAAAGCCATTCTAGGTAATTTAAAGAGGTAGAGACGTGTGCGTGCTGCATGGTAATCTACCAACGTGCGCCTTAATCATGACCCCGTATGTACCTTTAACAATGTGTGTCCTTATTTATGACAATACAGTACTGGACTTTGCACTTGCACGTTCGTGCGTGCGCTTCTTGTCGAAGAAGCACGTCAGGACGCAGCGCGCTATATCACACGGGAGACGTCCCCCCCTCCCGCTCTGCATACAGAGGTTTGACTCGGGCAGGCTGGGCGCATATGTGAAAAAAAACGGCACAGGAAACAGTAGATGCGGGGTCTTGTTTTGCATTCAAATACTAGTGATTGCAATAAAAAAAAAATTGCGCTAACGCGAAAGAGGCTTACAGAGAACGGCGCTGCTCTAGGCAGGATGATTTCTGCGAGTGCCACAGTGTAACATTTATTTCCGAGTTTCTGCGCAGGTCAGCTTGTTCCGGTGGTTTGGTGAGGAATGCTGTTTAGTTCTTTTCAATTTTTTATGTTTAATTTACGGGTGTGTTTATTTTTAGAAAAAAAAATACCGCGTTCGGTTATACCGCGTCAATCATTAATTAATGGATCCGTCTTATGAAGTGCTCGACAGGGGTAAATCCAAAGTTCTCTGGCCACGGCGGCGCAGTTCAACTAAGATTCCTGTTTTTCTGAACTAAATTAAGGCGACGTTGGCCAATGAATTGCAGTTTTAATTTACTGTCGGTGTGTGTTTTTCATCTTCTCCTGCCGAAAACTGTTTTCAAATTCTAGCTGGAATCTCGTTTCGCGAGCGACTTGTACGTCTTAGAGGCCTTTAATTGCAGCCCCGAGAGTTTTAAGTGGACGTACAGTAGGTAGGTTCAGGTTTAAGGTTTGAAATTAAAGACCAGTTCCGGAGATCTGTGCATGATTCGACATGCTCTTGAGTGAAAATGTCGGGCTTACGGGTTTCAGAAAGCATTGGCATTCATGCAGAGAAAATGTGCATCTTCCCATCCAAAAAGCGTGTGCTACACGAAAGGTACTTTATTTTTAATTTATATGCGGGCAAGTTCGACTGCCGCAGTTGCGTGCAAATCAGTTTGCAGTTCGAGCAAAGTGCGACTAGTTTTAATTTCAGTATTTTTTTGCTCAAAACAATGTGGACTTTTTAAAATATTTAACCACTTCCCTTTAACCGTCTCTATATTGGAAACAATTGTTTAGGGGAATTTCTTTTAAATCCTTCAAGCCGTATTTTGGCTTTATTTAGAAGGTAGCATGCAACGATTAAGTGGTTTTGGTTCGAGTGTTCTGTAAACCTAAGGCAAATTCATTTGAGTGGTTTTCGAAGCAATATAGTCTGTAATGGGTTTTGAAGTTTATGTGCGTTGGGAGGGAAGGTATACACTCATGTATATTTCTCTTTTCCACCTTGAAAATGTTTGTAAGTATAGTGGAGGGTAGACTTGCAGTTTTTGGAGAAGACCCGGGCGGTTTTGCCAGCTTGTTTTAACTTGAGCCATCTGCACCCTGTCAGGTACCGGTTATTCCCTGGAGTTCTGCGTGTAAACTGCTATCATGATGGTGGCTGTGTCAAAACAATTTCCCGTTTCCCACTTTTTTTTGTCTTGAAAAAAGCAAAATAACTACAGTAGGCAGATTTCCAGACACTGTCGGATACTGCGTTGTAAGTATGTTTTTGAAAAAAAACTTTCGTCTTTGAGCTTAGACTAATTTTCGCTTGTTTCATGTTCCCATTACAAGTTTCAGACTTTAGGTTGCCTCTGCGTAGATTTGGTGCTTTCCTGGGCCACAGCCTTGAAGCGAAGTGTCTACTTTTACAGGATGATATATACATTTGAGGATTTGGCCATTTTGTTTAAAGGAATTGTTGTTCTCAGACATGCAGGTTAAAGCTTGTTGATGTCACATCTGAGAACAAACAGCAGTGCTACACTTTTTTTTTGTATAAAAAAAGATACACCACATGTGCTCTGAAAACAGGCACTAGTTTTTATAGTGTTAGTCTATGTGCAGCTGGAGATGAGTATTTTAAATGTGAGGTCTGTTGTGATGTAAAGAACTGAGCTGTTCTTTACAGGTGGGTATTTTTGTATTTCTTGCCGAGTATAATTGGCATTGGACTTTGGAATTGCTTTGAAATCTTGACCCTGTATGTCAGAACTGAATTAAGAAAAAGTAAACAAAATATGTAGGTACATGCTGATTTGAAGAACTGCAGTATTTCACTTTAACGCAGTGTAATAATTTAAAGGGACAGATTTTGCAGAAATGTTTATGATTGCCTTGTGTGGTTGGAGCTTGCAGCAGGCTGTTAAAGAATATGAGAGAGAGCTCCGCAAGGCCTTCAGGAATTATTGTGGTGACTGACAGTTCTGGGGTACACCTCCGTTGTGATGGTGGTAAAATCGGGCACGTCCTGATTTAAAGGACTTTACAGTGAAAGTCACAATGTGTTTTCTGCTTTAACGGTGTGTATTATTTGTTTAGCGGACACCTTTATCCAGGGTGAATGAACTACATTGTATAAGTTCAGGTGGGGAGCTGTGTCAGCATGGGTAGGCTGCAAAGGTTACCCGTGGAGCCTTCTTCAGGTGAGAGGTTCAGGTTATATTATATTGTTCACACCTGAAGAAGGCTCCACGGCCAAAACGTTGCATTTTCTTCCTGCTTTTTTTCAGCATGGAATAAACCTATTACTTGTTACATTGTATAGATTTGTGTCCACTCTGTTGGGTATCAATCATGTGCGTAATCATCAATCATGTAAGTTAATAAAATACCAAATTAAGCTGGAAGTGTGATGCAAGGGCAGAATTGGGATAAATGAAATGGAAAGCTTTAAATCTGTATACACGGATTGTGGACACCAAGAAGCAATGAATGCAACCTCATGGCCCAGGTAGCGGACAGGAGCTACAAACAATTTCCATTGCCAGCCTAGCCTGGGAATCGGAAACACTGGAGATTGAGATTAGGATCTGAGACACGGGTGAGGTCTGCTCCTGACCATGTGAAGTTGGGCCGAGACCGAGCTTTTCTGATTACTGTGGGTAGTTTGCTCCACCACTGAGGAGAGAGACTGACTGGACTCTAAGCTGAAACATGAGTACCTGTATAATGTGACCATGGAGTAAAGCCATTTCATTTCAAAATAGAGGTGGACTTTCCTCTGCTTTCTGGATCATGTCATTAATATTGATTGAGAGGCATCTCGGTGCATCTCGATTATCTTAATGTGTTGAGTTGTTAAAGAGGAGTGTGTCAGATATAATGGGAGACGGTGGCAAAAGCTGTTGGCTTGTAGATTCTAAATGATGAATCGGGGACGGGTTTTGTACTTTCTCAATTTATCTGCAACGTTATTTGATGGTTAAATACATTTGCCAGTTTGACCCCTCCCTTATTTGAAGTTAAGGGCATGTGTGTTTTATTTCTTATTTGACAGGTCAAGTTTTAGTTTATGGTGCTGTGAATATTTCTGTCGCCAAATATCCCAGGGAAGTTTAACAGCTAATATATTATATTGTTTTAGTCCACGCCTGTTTTTCCTTTTTTTATTAATAAGCATATGTACATTAACACATCCTTTTATTTGGATTTCATCTGTATTTAGTATGCTCGAGTAAATGTCTTATTCTAAGTAGTTGTTATGCAAAATCTTCATGAATTTGTCACTGCAGTGCTTTAAGTCTTTGACCGAATGTAAGTGAAGGGGAAAAACTCTTATGTGTCATTGCTTGTGTTGAATAGCTGAAGAGCAGGAAAAAAAATCCCTTCTTAAACATCATGGAATACAATGGATTCTGAGTGAGTCAGGCTGCAATTAAGCCATGACTTTGGAAGACATTACAGGATGTCTTGCTATCTTTATGCATTCAGTAAAAATGGAAAGTGCATTTTTATGGCTTCCCTTTTGTCAGAGTTTTCCTGAAAAATACATTACCTGTCACCCACAGAGCACAGGCCTGCTGATTGTGATGTGTTAACATGTTCCCTTGCTTCCCCTAGAGAAGTAAAGGAATTTTTATGTTAGTTTAGTTTTCTCCGATGGCTCCCTCCCCACCTTATCCATGGTGCTTTACGATATGTCCAAAGTTGTTAGTCTTGTTTGCTTAATCATCAGTCATATTTTCCAGTCCCCTTCAGGCAGGTCCAAATTCACCAAGGTGCCACATCCAATACTGGTGTTTTGCCTCACAGGAAGTTTTAAATGTCATGGACTTTCGTTTTACACATGCAGAGAGAAATGTGGTTAATGATTGACTTGGGCTTGTCTGCAGCCCAGGTTCTGTGTTTCCCACATTGCTGTTTAACTGCAGTTGAGTGTTTTTGTTTCAGAAAAAAAAAAGAGAAAATGGGCTGATCTCATCACTGGCGTGACTAAGGTGGGCGTCGGCCCTCAAATGCACAGCCTAAGCCATCCACACTCTGCTGTAGCAGCTGTTATGGGTGTAATGTGCTGTTAAAAGCACCACTGAGATCTGCCTGCTTACATTTTTCCACTCCCAGAGATCAACCATTTTTCCAGTTCACAGATTTTTTCCTGAAGTAGATAAATGCTGTTGTTTAAAAAAAAAAAAGCGCAACCTGTTCTGCAGAGGAGTGCTCAGCGAGGGAAGATGGCTGTCTGAGGTGTGTGAGCCCTGCTGGTGAGGAACTGTTTGGGACTGTAGTGCATTGGTCCTTGATCGCGATGGTGTTGCTTTGCTTTGGAAGGACTCCTTGCTCACCAGGTGACCAGGGAAAATGTCCCAGGTGCTGAGGAGGTCGTGATGGAAAAGAGATTATCCTAGAAAAGAGACGGAGATGGTTCTGTTGCTGTTTTTGTTTGTATCTGGAAATAAAAAACTATATTTGTTTCAAAAGGAAATGGCAAATTACTTAAGTTAGAATATGTTCGAATAAATGGACATTTTGGGATGTTTTTGGTACCTCGTAGGACCTTTCCAAATTCAGGTACCTGTTTATGTAAAACAAAAAAATACTTCTGTCATTGTAGCAGCCCAGTGTCATGGAGGGGACAGTCAGTCATGAATCTTTCCTCGGGTTATCCTTATCTTGCATTTTCAGTACACCTCTGATGTGAACTGTCCCTATCTTTGAGGTGTGTGCTAACCACCGGTCTGCTTTGTAGTAGCAAGGAAAGTGCACTTTGCTCATGGGTGTGTACTACTAGAAGTTTCAGGGTGTTTTTGTGTTTCCAGTTAAGTGTTTGGTTTTGGTTTTTTTGGTTTGAAAGAAATCAGTTCTAAGACTTTTATCTCGTTTATTCATTGCGATGGAAATCTTTTGATTTGCAGATGCTAAGGCAATGATGAAAGGTAAACAAAGTGTACTTGAATAATATGGGATGAAGCTAGAATGTGTGCCTTGCTCCCTTAGTATTACAAGGAGTCATTTTTGAGGTCTGGTTGCAAAATATTTAACCAGTCTCTCGCTGGATTGTCTCCTAATGTTAAGTAAGTGAACAGGGAGACTCTTTAAAAAGAGCAGAATGGCAACCAACTGAAAAGGGAATAGGCTGGAAAAATGATGGCTTTATCCAATTAGTTTGTACAAGGTGTGTCCTGGTTGAACCAGTTTTAGAAAACAAACATTTTTCCATTTGACATAATTTAACAGGTTCACCATTTCAAAGGCTTGACCCACGGCATTCTGTGTAGTGTCAGTGTTCAGTTTTCGTGACCGAACAGCATGGGTTGAACAGAAGACTTGCTTATTGACCTGTGGCTGCTAATCCTGGCTTGCAGTCAAGGCATCAGCTTTGTGAGCCGAGCATTCAGTGCACGGAGGCGAACAGCAGCTTCAGGCAGAGACCATTTGTTACTTTCCTTTGGAGGCTTTGAAAAATGTGTAGGTGTTACATTTTTACATTGTGACTGAGGCACAGTCTTAGCATAAAATTATTTTTTCCTACTCATTGTTAAAAAATAGAAAATATTTTTAAAAGGCAGGGCTTGTTGAATATGTGTGTGTGAAAGTTTTGAGTATTACAGTGTTACTGAGGACCTCGCTTCTCTATTGCGTAGAATAGCATGAAAAAGTGCAGCAGGGCTTCCGATGGATTTGGGGGGGAAAAAAAAACTTTTTTTATTGGTATTATCGGCTGCGTACCTTAATTGTGCATGCGGCCACATAAGTACATTTTATTAATAATGTCTTTGAGATTTAAAAACTGTGGTTCATTTCTTGAATGTGTTTAGACAAGCCAGGATTTAATTCTCTAAAACTGTGATTGATGTGGGTGTAATGCAGCACTTTTTAAGGGAATGGCTAAAAGGCCAAATTATTTAGATTTAATTATTCAGTCTGAGCAGCTGCGGCATTTTCATAATTATCTGCCTGTGTTCCACAGTCGTCCTACAATGCTTTAAATTACCGAGTAGGTTTTAGAGTATAGTTAAATTACAGGTTTGATTTTGAATCGTGTATAAAGTCACTCCTCAGAAGAGCTTGGACAGCCAAGGATTTAGGAATGACTGAAAGCGTGGTATTTGAAATACTTCTTGGAAAAATGTTTTTGTTTCAGGTAGAACATGACTGTGTGTGATGAGGTTTACATCATTGTGAAGGTTTTGATGGATGAATGTTATAAAATTTGAGCTCTGCTACACTGCAGTTTAAAGGTACTGAGCTCACTTTATACACTTCTTGAAGTTTCATGCTGTTTGAAGAAGCTGAGCCGGGCGAAAGATTTCTCTTGGGAGGATGTGAGGGTTTGTTTTATTAATGTTAATGGGTAACGGTGATTAATAGACAAAAAAGAAACATCAGAAATACCTAAAGTATACGGCTTTCAGATTCTGGTTGTGATATGGACGTTTCTTTAAAAAAAGACAATATCCTGTGCTAAACCCAGTGGAAAGGGCTGCTCTGCTCCATTGGAAGAGGAGTTCAAACCCTGGGTAGCATGACCTGCACTCCCTTTAAGGTCCTATAGTGATTTAGCAGCGGAAGCAGAAACATCTTATTTGGACTTGGCATATCTAACAGCTTTCCTCTTCCAAGTTACTAAAACATTGAAAATTCACTGTGCAACTGCTTGAATCATTTTGAAATCATGCATTGGCATTAATAACCTTATAGTCCTGTTTTATGTTTCTTGCTCAGTATTGTTATTGTAAGGGTGTGGTTTCAGAGTCCTGAGTGCAGTGTGTGTTAATCTTTCTTCATATCCCTTTTGCTCCTTGTTGTTTTGGTTACTGATGTTTAGCCAGGGTATCCAAGTGAAGTAATGGTAGGGTTCTTCAGATTAGTTGTTTATTTACAGCACCCTGTTTTCTGAAAGAGCAAGCTTTCTCCAGGATGGTGTGGATTTTGATTGGGTTGTTACTTGTGAAATGTTTTGAGGAGATAAATCCTACACCTAACATGCAGGGTTGCTGCAGTATAACAAAAGGACTGATTTTTACTGGTATTGTATTTGGATGGGGTGTTCCGTTTCATTTTGTGAAGGTGGTGGTGTTTCTGGTAAACTTTTAAACCAAACTGTGCGTGAACGTCTTACAGTGACTTAATAATGAAAGTGAATTATAAACTCCTTCTCAACTGCAGTGGTAAAAAGCTGTTGGAGGTTCTGTATTTGAGAACAGTGGAAGGGGGTAATTAATAAATTGTTCCTCTGTAAATATGCAAAAGAGTAGCCAAGTCAAAAACATCCTGAATAGCAGTTCTTGAGAATGTTGCCCTAAAAGTGCATATCTGATCCGTCATACAAAAGAGTGAGATTTGCTTTTCCCTTTAAACAATCTCTGCTGTATCCATTGTTAACTGTTGGCCATTTCTGTTACTTTCCATTACAGGTTAAATTGACCTGAATTCGTGAAGAGGGACCTCAAGACCTGGTAGCATGCAAATACGGAACAACTGGGATTCTGAAGGAAGGTCATTAGTGACTGATTATTTTCTTGACCTTGTAGCTGTACCAGGTAATTACATCTGTACGGTCATGTCAGTTGTTTTTCCCTAAGCAGATGTTTAAGAAGAATCTTTACTTCTCTGGTTTGTCGCGTGTTCAAGTTGTATAAGAGGAGGTGGACTGCTGTGACTTACTGTTGAGTAACAGTTGTAGTGTATAGCCATTTTGAGGCACAGACAACCTTAAAAACAATTATTTTTAAAGCATGGTGCAAACTTTCTTACATAACTTTCTATATCCAAAGAAAACCTCCCTTCTGTGCATTAGCCCTCCAGTGAAAGTTTTCGTATCTATCAGGGTAATCTCTGGGTGCCGGCTAATTAAAGTAGAGGAATAGCAGAGCAGTGGAAGGACAGTGCATTGCATAACTTTGTGAGCTTGTAAAGCTTTTCAGATTCTGGGGCTTATAGTTCTGCTTTCCAAGTCTTTTCAGCTGCATGCCAAATGATTTAAAAATAATTGGCACTAATATTGCAAGAAATAACATTTCAGACTAAAACAGACTACAGTTGTAAAGGAAAATGGTTTTTTTCCACTTTTCTTCACTAGAATTGTAATGCATAGACTGTGAACGTGTTTCAGGACATGTATCCGTAATGTGTGGGTTCAGTGCTGGGAGGTGCAACACACATTTTCTGATCCACATCATCTCTTCTGATTCCGTGGTTCTCTGGTGCCTTGAGACGGTCTCACCTGTGTGTCTGGGCAACAGTTTGGGAAGCCCTGGCTCATAGTGTGTCTGCTGGAGCTGTACATTGTCATTGCTGAGTCACAGGGTTCTGTCTGGACTCCGCTATATTCGTGTTTTTGTATAGTAAGCTGTGGGAGGAGTTACTAACTTTTATAATCAACGTCTTGGGAAAGTGCTTCACCAGCACACCAGAAGTATTGATTATCTCAGCCATATATAGGCATGTGAATCGACATTCACTTCCCATTGGCTGCATGAACTTTTTTTTTCGTATTTTTTTTTGCAGGATCTGTCAGCAGAAGAGCTAAGCCAGCTTGCCTGTAGCGCAGCAGCTGTTTAGGTGAGCAGCCAAGGTGTTTGTTGCACTGGTTACACTGCACAGAGCAGGAGCAGAGTTTTAAGATCCAAGGACTGGAGCTCCAGAGGCTGAAACAGTGGACCTTTTGTGCCGAAACGAGGGAATCACCTCTGGACTGGAATGAGGAAGTAAGAAGGTGTAGGGAGAAATCAGTAATGTCAGGGATCTTGATCTTCTGTAACTTTGAGGTCAATTAAGATAGAGCCAGACAGTTTCTCCAGAGGAGGCTGTGCCAACCTAACGCAGGCGGGGCGTAGGGCATCGGTAGGCAGCGTTGGCTGCCAGTTGAAAAAGAAAGCAATTACGAAGCCCTCTATTCACCCGTTTGTTCTTGCCAAGCAGCCTTCTGTGCCATGTCATCCGTTCGGCAGGGGTTTGACACTGTCTGAGTGTGTGTAGCGTTGCATCCGCTGGGCTGAATGTGTTTTTTGTGAGGGCAGGGCGGATGGAAAGTAACCTTTTCGGACTTTGTTGGCTACAGTTCCAAAACCTGCTTTTGTTTGAGCTTATCTTGTCTTCATGGCTGACATGCTGCTTTGAAAACAAACTAGTGCCTTGTTCTCCAGAGAGAGAGAGCGAGAGAGCAAGAGAACACGAGAGCTCCTTATTTTAGCCTTTTTCTGGCGAAAGGCTGTATGCATTCAGCATTTTTTGGGGATCTGTAATCTGATCTTTTTTTAAATAAGTGGCATTTGCAAGGCTGGCAAACTTTTGCTATTGAAGTATGTACGTGCACAAACTGTACCTCATGTTTCTCACTTATTTTTTATAACGGGGTTTCTTTGGTGAATATGTGAGAGATCTGGAAAAGGCAGAGTATTGTAGACTATAATCAGTTCAAACTGTTGCCTGCAGCAGTCCAGGGAATTGGTGGGGTTTTTTTATTGTGTTTTATAACGGATTATAGAGGCTCTGAAACTGATTTGGCAAGAGTTGGCCCGTGTTGAATGGAAGCAACATAAATGGAGTATTATTTTAGTTTAAAGTTCTGTGGGTTTTGGAACTCCTTTTTGTTTCCCGCTGAATGAAAACAATTAAAATTGAAATGCAAACTATAAGGAAAACAGTACTTAAAGGTTTTTGCTCAAGGAACTGTTCAGAGAAAACTGAAGTAGTGTTCTGTTATTCTGAGGTTTTAGGGGAACGATGTGTTTATAGACCTCGTGGTATTGCAGTTGTCTTCAGAAATGTGAAGAAGGTGCTTTATTTAATGCATAACTGGGAGAATCTGTTGTCAGGTCCATCAGAAAGGTATTGGACTGCATTATTCCAAACCTCATCCATGTGCTATAGCATGTTCTTTAATTCCTTAAGAAGCTTTATGTTCAATTTGTTTATTGGTTTTTCAGAAAAAAATAAGAATCTACATGGTACCATATACTATAATGAGCAAATGTGAACAACCATCATAGCGTGACAGACTTGGTACCTAAACAGATTGTGTAAATTCAACAATAATCTAAAAATGGGAATAAAGGAGGTGAAAAAAGGAAACCAGAGATGTGTACTTATGAAGAAATATTCAGTGGATATTCGATTTGTTGTCTCAAAGGTATTAGGCCAGAAAACCTGGGGAATAATTTTTCCAATTGGAAATGTTTAAATAAAAATGACTACAGAAGAAATCATTCTAGTACATGTTTATTTTTCCTGGCCCTTGATCATCTCACTGGCACAAAGTGCGGTAAGGTGTGATTCGAAATATGTTGTCACGGTGTACAAAAAATATGGTATTCCCTAGACCTTGTCCAGAGTTTGGGCCATTCAGAGAGCTCGGAGCGCTGTTGTAACGTTTGTTTGTTTGTATTTCTTGTGCAGTGTGGGGTTTGCGTGAAGGAGGAGGTCACCCGTGGCCAGTCTGAGCAACACCGTGCAGTCTGTGCTGGGGGGAGGAGCCCACAGCCTTGAGGAAATGTGATTATATCATGAGTTCCCGCCGAGCTGCCCCCTACAGGGAACAACGCAAACCTGTAGCTCCTTCCACGCTCCACCCTGCTTGGCGGTGAGTTGTTGCACACGTGCTGCACTCCGACGGCGTTCGTACCAGAGCCGTAGCTGTTTCCTCAGGTGTGTAGCAGAGAACAATCATCGTAATTGTTTCCAGTAGAGTGGCGGGCAGCCACAGGGCTGAGGACTGTATGTGCACCTTGGAGATGTAGATTGTAGCCTCAAAAGTACTCCTATATAAACTGCACTGTTCGGTTTAATAATGCTAGAACAGTTTCTTTAAGAAAGGATCCTTTTGATTTTCCACTTTTGTGTTAATTCCTTGGTTGGGGGGTATGTGGCCCTTGAGGCAGTTAGAGGGCCTCATCAATGCATTTTGGGCTGTCTGCGATTGTTTCAAAGCCTCCTTCCTCACTGGCTCAACTGAATTATAAGGTACAGGAAAATGGAGTGCACAGATTTTGTGGAAAAGATTTGGTTTAGAAGTGTACTTATGGTTTATTAGTATATATGAAGATGTAATATGTTTGTATTACAAGTGTTTCGGTTATGAGTATATGTGAAAGTGGGAGCTCTGACAATATCAATTTGAAAAAGGCTCAGAAATCTGAAGTAAAAAGCAGTGTTAAATGCTTTTCATCTTTCTATGCATGTCTGTGTTCATTTGAATTAAGTTGAGGACGGTACTGCTGCATTGTGGTTAATTGCATAAAAAACTTTGATGGTTTGTGGAAACGATCGCACAGATACACGTTTTTCTGATTATTTAGATAAATGGAAGTAGTTTGTAGCTTACACAGTCAACCTTGTAAAAAGTAGTTGAACTATTCAATAGATTAAATAAAATGAGCTGAACCTTACTTTTATTACATTTTCTTTACTGCATTCCAGTGTTTTCCCTCATGCAAAAATGTTTTAGAAAAGTGTTGTAAACAAACATTCAGTTCAGTATACCAGTCACAGTTTAGTCTTCATTGTCTTTTGTAAATAAGTGGAATAGCTTTGGGTGGCAGTTTGAATTTCATCTGTGTAAGGGTTTCACAAGCAGAATTTGAATAGACTGGAAACAATAACTCAAATTTTCCTCCGGTGCATAAACTGGTATTGTGAATTAAAACAAACAAGCATGCATGAACGAATAGTATTCAGAAATTAATTTTTAGAGACGATACGGTTTGATTGTTAGAATTACATAAGCACTGAGGTCACCAATTTCATAACTGATTCCAACTTTTATTTTAAGGAGTAAGGACTTAGAGTACTGGATTCCTAGTTCAAATCGACATGCTAAACTACTTGGTGCTTCTGCTTTGTGTGAGTGTGCGGGTTATTGAAAAGTCGTTGCAGTTACTGTACCCTTTCGTGTTCCACCCTGCTGTAAACTGCGGCATTCTTTGACACGTGCTTGCTCGCTCAGGAGAGCCGTTTCTGTTGGAGAATGGGGAACAGAATTTGATCCAAAAGTAGGGCTGAATCCGCTGGAAGAGGCTCTCTGGTCTGCAGTTTATTACATAAACGGTTGGGCCTTTTATTTAAAAAAAATGAGCAGTCCTGATAGATGGTTGCTTTGAATGCAGCTATAGTACTGATTGAATGGTACAACACGCAAGAGTTTACTAACTAAATTAAAAACCTTTTATTTAAATACTACAAGTAGGTAATGTTAGCAGTTTCACCCCATTGTCCACCACCATGTATCTTTTTTTCTTCAGTGCCATAGTTTCCTCAGGCCCGTTTCTTTCTAAGGAAAAAGTGACATGCGCACTGGAGAGGATGTTTTTGCCGGCTTAGTTTGTGATGTGAAGAATTTTTAGGCATAGTGCCCCTTCCTGTTTAAAACTTTGCTCACATGTTTATTATTCATTGTGGTTTTTGGATCTTGTACTCTTGTTTCAATAAATAAGGTTTTTCTCATTTCGGAGGACTGGGCACCTTCCTAGACTGTTATATACAGAGTGCTTGTGGCTGCCCATGACAGGAGTTCCCCATCCTGGGGACCCAGAAACCACCTGGTTTTTGTTCCACTTGATCACTTCGATAATCTGCCCTTAATTAACCTAATTATAGATTTAGTTTGAACTTTTAGTTGCTAAACATGTAGGAGGCCTCTTAGCCATTGTTTCTTAATGTGTCACTAATCTTTGAACAGAAGAAATCTTGCAGAGGTTCTAACCAGGCAATTTGTTAGCTCAGTTAAGGAGTCATGTACTGTAAGTATAGAACTCAGCTGCAATGAAAACCTGCAGGTATGGAGGTTCCTAGGACTGGAATTGGGAACTCCTAACCCCTGTGATGTTTCTAGTACAAAGCTCTGTAAGGATGCACTGTTAACTTAAATTCTGCACAACATTTTTGTTCAGGAGTTTGACTAAATTTATTGTATCCTTTAACACTCCCAGGGTGACTAACTTTCTACTGCTGTTTTTTCATCGTTGCTTACTGGAAGGTATTTCAAATTTCTAAAACTAGACTTCAATGTTTGAGCGTTTACTCATACTTTAAATGTCAGGCTTTCTTTAAACATTTGAGAAGGTAGTACCGGAATTGTTTATCTACTTCCCTGATTTATGTTCTGTATGTTTGCCAAATTTTAAGCAGCAACTGTTTTTTTTTTCTTCGAAAGCACCATTATCCCAGCAGAACAAAACTCGTTATTGATTTACAAGACGAGGGACGGAAATAATAAGGACCCTGTATACCCTCTGCCTTTGTTCAGAAACATAAATGGTTCAGCTAGCTAATGAAGTTGTGCAGCGTAAACATAATACGTACATACTGGGCCCATTCACACTGTGCATTTAGATAACTTGATACCCTCCATCATTCTTTGTTCTCCATGTAGCTTAATCCTGTATTTGAAACGGTAAATTGCTTTAGTATCAGGTTTAGTGAATTCCATGAAGATGTCTGGAGAACATAATGAAACATGCAGCAGACAAAACCAGAGAGACATTTGTTACACGTGTGAGTTTGCTAATATGGAAACTAAATTTGCATCAAATATTTGGATTAAATCTTTCATCTCCCAGTAATCTCCAGGAATTAGTTTCTCTTGAGTGATATTTTGAAAGGAATTTCAGCTCCTCCTTTTCGTCTGAATTGAAAGCACTTGGTGTTCAGCAGAACTTGAAGCGCATCACAGACTGGAAGGACTGTAAACATGCCAGATTAATTCCCAACTGTCAGCGGTTTGGAGGAAAAAAAAATACTAGCTTTTACACAATGCAGGGCTTGGCTACCTCCACATTTGCCTTTTTTTGTCTCGAACTGGCTTGCTGATTGTGGATTTGTGAGGGGTGTTCCGCTCATGCAGTGGCTTTTTAGGGCAGGGAGCAAGTTTGGTTTCTCTCAGACGCCAAGTTTATCTCTCAAAATGCTTAGCAGTGCTTCATGAAAACCTGCTGGGATAATATCTGCGCTACTGGAACTGCTGAAAATTTGATACCAAGTGCCTTCATACTAGTTTCCATAGAAGTCTCTGAAAATCTGCTGTAAACAAAAGGAAGTTGCCCATTGCAAGTGGCAGCTGCTCAGAGTCGTTTGTCAGCTGATGGACAGGAGGGGGTACTACATGTGTAATGGTGGCACTGTGAAAGTCCAGCAGAGAGAGTGTTGATCAGCAGTCCCTGTTATTGGTGCTAACAGTGAGTGGCTGGGGTGGCATGTGTCAAATATAAATCAGCTACCGGGTCTCCCAGTCATGTCCTCTCACTCCTCTTAGACAGGTCATCCTGTAGGTGAAACTGTTCCCTTGTGAGAGTAAAGGCTCATTTTGGCTCATCGGTCAAACACTTGTGCCACCCCTCCCCCTTCCAGAGAATGCCAGCCCAAATTTGGTCACAGTGACTTGTCCTTGTCCCCCAGCAGCCCCTGCCTGAGGATTGCCTTATAAGACTTTGGAGGCCTTGGTTTTCCCGTAAGGTGGTTGCTCCTGTTCTGTGCTATAGATGGATCTGCTGGGAGGTTTCTGTGGGTTTTGTTGCTGTGGGAAGGTAAAATGTCCCAGCTGTGCCTGGCTAGAGTAGGTCAAGTCACTTTCTGTCAGGAAAAGGTGAGAGACCAGCAAAACAGACAGGTGTGTTTAAAACGTATACTCGGCTTCAGCCCCTTTTCATTTAAGGTGGGTGCTAGAATTCAGAGGATCTCTTTGTTCTGCTTCCGAGCACCTTAAGCAATCCTTCAAAAGGATGTTTCTAAGTTCAGGTGGTTTTGAACAGAATCTTGTGACAGACTGGACTTCTGTTTTAAGCTTTTTTTATGAAAGGGCTAGCAGAGGTCAGGTTTTGAATGACTGTAATAATTTTCAAATGTTAATCACTCTGAAAACTGCAGAAGTTATTAAATGGGGGGGGGGGGGAAGAACGCTTAGATAAATTGATTTTATGGGATGTGCAAAGGGAGGCGTCATTTGCGTTTTGTGGAAGGTTCTCTCCCACTTTTGCCCTTATCTGCAAAGTGATGTTGTTCTGATATACAAAGCAAGAATGATGGTTCCGTTATCACTATTGGAAAGTATTCATCATCATTGAAGGATAAAAACAATTCATATTCTTATGATTTTATATTTTATTTCTTTTTAAGCAGGCATTTTAAGTTATTGAGCTTCATTCTTAAACTATTGTTTCCTTCGTGTTTGAGATTCCTCTATCACTAAAGGAGATGCTTTAGTGGGGGTCCATATTTGTCAAAATAATTGCCATCACCTGTCAGTTGTTGAGTGCAGGGGCTGTGGTTTGATTTCAGTATATGCTCATTTTGAAGGAGTGTGTTGCATTTAGGTTGCTACACACTCCTTGTCATAGTGGTACATCAGATAATGTGGAGCACCTAGTGTTCTGCAATACTGGGAATTAGGAATCCACTGGTAGGTTTTTCAGGGGCTCTGATTAATAGTTTTGTGTGGATCACCAGTGTAGCTGATTTCTGGGTGAATTAGAATGTCTTCAGAGCAGAATAAATGAACATTATTGTATTTATTCTTTTATTTTTGCTAGCACCATTTATTTATTTTTTAGATTTTCTGTTGGGAAATTGACTTTGTAAGTCTTGTAAGTCAGGGTATAATAAACTAATGACTATTGCTGCCAATTCTATAGAATTATATTAATATGACCATTTATTTTGTGAAATCCTCTTAAGTTTGTAGTGTTAAATAAGAAAAAAATACAACAAATTTCGTGTTATTAAGTGAGGTGAATATTTTACACTACTCATTCCTATAGCTCTGAAGTGATTTGATAAAGGTGGCTAAAAATAAAGTTGTCACTGAATTTTTGCTTTGTCAGGTATAAGTGTAGGTTTTAGTTGTAGAATGGAGGTCATAGTTCTGCATGTTGTGTTTATGATTTATCAAAAAAATCCTTTTTGTTTTTCGAGAAATGTGTTCATTCTCAGATGCATCATGCAGGTATCACAGATGGTGCCATTTAAAAAAAAAGACATTTACAGGAAATGCAGGCTTTAGTGGGATTTGAAATGTTATTCATAATAATGCTGGTATAAATGGTATTCATGCTATAGTTCATAGCTTGATACCTTTATAGCCTGTGTGAAATATAGGTGGAAGACATGACTTATGCTTTGCTCCTTACCTTCTCATTAAATGCATGTTTGAATTTCAGCAAGTGGGCATCGGTGCTTTTTGTGTACTGCTGTTGAAGATTAACTGAGACAGGGAAGTTATGTAAGGTCAGCCCCCCATCCCCCGGGACTGGGTGAACCTCAGTTTGAGAACATATTTTGTCTTGCTGCAGAGAAAGGCAGGAAGCAGACAACTGTTCCACCAATATTGTGGTGTCCTATAAATTGTTTTCTTAAGAGTGACACAGTCCGAACAAAAGGCAGCGTCTGGCACGGAGAGAACTTTTCCTGGCACCTCAGACCCTCCTGATTGCCAAGTTTAGCGCGATGTCTTTTTCTGCACATTATCTTGCTACGTAATTCTTCCATGTATAGTTTTTCTTGCTGTACAGGAGCACTTGCAGGGAGTTTCTGTACATTTACTGTGATAAAATTGTTTACAGGAATCGAGTGAGTTGGTACAGTATGTGCCGTCTGATGTAGTGAACTGTCCCTTTGAAATTGTAACTTTACTCCAGAGCTTTTGGCTACCGAGAGCTCATGAGATAACCTTAATGCATTTGAAATCCGTGAGTCATGGTTTCATTACTTTTTGTCAGTTTATACTTGAAGCACTTACATTTTGTCTGTTTTTTTTTGTTTTTAGGTTTGCAGTTATGCACCTTAAGCCATATCCCAAGTTTCAAAAGAAAGAGCTGACGTTGGAGACAAGCCAAGATAACCTAAGAGGCCTTCTCTCAAGCCAGCAGGGTGCGCCGAGGACGGACAGACGTGCAAACACCCGCAGCACACATCAGCCCTGCACCCCGGGGGGCGCGCCTAGTAACGGGACAAGCTGTCGGCGCTCTTTTGGAGTGCAAGCCGCTCGTGCTTTCTGCAGCAGCCCCAGCTCCAGTTTCGGTGCTGACACTCCCTGTTTCCGGGGCAAGAGCAGCAAGGTGCTCTCTGCAAACACTACAGAGCCCTTACTGCTGGTCTCCTCCACATCCGAGCCAGACAGCTCCCTCACCTTTCACCAGGTGGAGGAAGGAGACGGCCCTCTGGACATCTGGGCAGTGATCAAGCCAGGGAACACCAAGGAGAAAATTGCAATCTTTGCTGCACACCAATGCAGCAACACCAGTAGCAGCAGCAGCAGCAGCAGCAATGTCACCATCAGTAATGGCAGCAGCAGCCGGACAGCCTCCATGAAAATTAAGGGCAGCTGGGATGTTGAAGGTTCTGTGGCCAAACGCAGGAAAAGATCGGCAGACCCAGACAAATCCAAGGCCACAGAGCAGCAGTTACCGAGTAGGACAAGGGATTGTGGAGCAAAGCAGATGCCTGTGGCAGCAATAAGTTGCCTGCCCTCTAAAGATGGGGGAGAGCAATCTTACAGAGTGATCAATCTTACCGAGGGGAGCAACATGGAGGAAGGAGAGGATGGAGGGAAAGCACTGTCTGTTGTTGAGATGGTGGCTTACCTTGAGCAGAGAGCCAATGCTCTGCACATGGACTGCACCAAGTACAGCTCTGGGCGTAGCTCTGGGTCCATTGCACCGTCAAAGGGAGGGCTGATGACAGAGAAACAAGGCAGCAGTGCTGCAGATGATCAGAGGAGCCCTGAGGAGATGCAGGGAGAGTGTGTTAGGGTGTTGGAGATGGTGGCCAAGTTGGAGTCGGAGTGCCTGAAACGGCAGTGTGAGAGAGAGGCAGGAGGGCTGTCTCGGAGCAACAGCCTTCGCAGGAACGTGGGTAGGGTGTTGCTGACATCAGGAGAGTCTTCCCCTGCTTCCACACAGCAAGAGACAGGTCATAAACCCTCACCAACTTGCCAAGAGCCCCTGTCAAAAAACCACAACCTGGCGGAATGTCCTTCTAACCCCCTGGCTAACAACAGTGGCAAAAATATAAGCCGTCCCGATCACTGTGAAGGTGAACCTTTTGAAACCATTGTTACAATCTACAGAGAAAAGGGATATGGAACTAACAGTTCTGAGTTGACTACCATTGATAACAGAGTACAGAGCAGCTTGGATACCAATGATCCAGTGAAGCAGGAACAGCAGGAAGGGGCCTGTGCCGCAGAGCTGTCCTTCGTTAAGGTGGTGGACCCGTGCATTGAACCTGGATTGCAGCCGGAAACGCGGATGGAGAGCGAGCCCCACGTCAGTTACCGTGAGGAGCCGCTTCCAGGGATGCTGTTTTTCAAACAGAGTTCAGCGCCAGCTGCTCAGAACCTGCCCTCACATTCGGCACAGGAAATTCTGCAGCAGCCTAAGGATTCCCAGACCACCGCGACATCCAGCGATTCCAGGCGGGACCAACCCGGGCCCGAGGAAGTATCAAACGCACGAGAAGAGGGGGAGGGAAGCTGTGTAGGTCAGGACCGCTTGCCTTTCCCTCTGAGACGGCTGGTTTCCCATGAGTTCCTGGAGGCGCGGTTCAAGATCCAGCAGCTGCTTGAGCCCCAGCAGTACATGGCCTTCCTGCCACACCACATCATGGTCAAGATCTTCTGCTTCCTGCCCACCGAAACACTCGCGGCCCTCAAGTGCACCTGCCAGTACTTCAAGTTCATTATCGAGAGCTACGACGTGCGGCCTGCCGACTCCCGCTGGGTTCGAGACCCGAGATATAAGGACGACCCTTGCAAGCAGTGTAAAAAGCGCTACGGGCGCGGCGATGTGTCACTCTGCCGCTGGCACCATAAGCCCTATTGCCAAGCCTTGCCCTATGGACCTGGCTACTGGATGTGCTGCCATGGCTCCCAGAAGGACACCCCAGGCTGCAATGTGGGGCTGCACGATAACCGCTGGGTCCCAGCCTTTCACAGCATTAACATGCCAATCTACAAGAAAGTGAGGGACACTGAGGAGGAGACTTAGCAGGGTCCAGAGTGGGTGATTTTAACCGATTGGCCTTTTTGTGTGTATGTGGGCGTGCACGCATGTGTGTTGTAGATTGTGACCAGGTTGCTGACACTAATGAGGAATCACTGGATCTCTTCCAGTTAGTCCGGATAATCTGAAGAGCGGTTTTTCATTGTATGCGAACATTTGTTAAACCGCTTAAAAAATGCAAAACATAAAGGTGATTCTGCCATTCTCTTCTGAATCAGAGACAAGGTAATTTTTAATGAATCTGTTCCTCAAAGAATTGTTAGGACTTCTACATGCAGAATGCATTTTTTGAAATTTCCGGTACTAGCGCTTTTCTTCTTTCAGAGAGCATTAATTTATGATTAAGAAATTATCTTTTCAATGATGCTTTAAAGCCTATGTTTACAGATGGATCTGACAATTATTTCTGAGTAGGTCTTATAATACATTGACTACTAAACCGTATTTGTTTTCTTTGCTATAATCCTGTGCCAGATGTTGCAGCATACAAAGTATGCTGCATGTTTTACTTGGTTCAGATGCATTGAAGGAAGATAAAAGGTTAGAAAGTTGAATATCCTTACCTGGTATAAATGGCATGAACATTTTTTAAAGCCATATAGCATTCAAGGATTTCTGCAGTTATTTCTTTATTCAAACTTTACATGCAAATGACCCTTTTTAAAGGATTTGTAATGTGAATTTAGCATTTTTTTTGCTTGCTTTGTAAAACAATATAATATAATCTGCTTACAATTTCAAACATTTTCTTCTATTAGGGCCTGTCCTGACCAGTGATGGCGTTGTTAGTGTGAGAACCTGCGTTTTTTTTTTTTGAATGGGACATGTTTCTAACCCTGTTATGTTTACATTGTATATAATACTGAATCATATCCATACAGGGTAAGGAATGATGCATGCACAGTACTTGAGAAAAGATCTACCTTCAGTGGGTAGAATTCCTCATTTTACCCCTGTTGTGGATGTATTTAAAAATAATCCAAGTTGTAAATATAGATTACAGAGCTGGCACAGCCACCTAACCTCTACAATGCAGCTAACGTAGCCTTGCGACAGTAAGCGATTTTTGTGTTTTATGGGTATTTTTAAAATGTTATTATCCCATGTATAATAATCCTATGTTTCTGAATGGAAACATAAAAATGGAGAGGGTTATTAACTTGGTTCCGTTCTTTATAATGGCTTAAACTGGATGCATTCTGAAAATGAGGATTTATTAAATGGACGGTTAACAGATTGAGGGCAAAACAATTTTAAAGCATTATTGTATAATGACCTGTTATAAGAACATAATTGTTCCTGCCTTTAGGGGCATTTTACTTCAATAAAGTGTGCATTCTTAGGTCTTGTCAGCTATTGTTTTGGTGATGCTTTATGCTTTTTTTCCTTGACAGTGTGATTTTGTTGCTGAAATTGTCAAAAAAAAAGGGTCAAGGCAAAAAACACTGGTGAATTTTACAGAGAGGATAAGCATTAAATTAAGCAGCTCCTGGGAGTCTTTCCTTCACTCCCAACAAAGAGAAGGAAAAGGCCTTAATGAATGAGGAGGGGGGGTGGGGGGGTGGCCTGATGTCCCAGAATGAATCTTGAGGATTTGACTTCAAGTCCTAGACTGTGGTCTGTTTTTCGAAGGATATTGATGTCTAAAATAAAGAACATTTAAAAACGTACGTGGTGTTATTACTGATGAAGATAAATTAAATGGAGAGGGTAGACCCACCTGCGTGAAGTATTGCATTCTTGCACAAGGGTTTCACTTTAGGTGACATGACAGGAACGGTCTGACTTAAGTGGTATTACATTGATCAAACTATTCACTTCCCTTGAGCACATCTTTGGAAAAACAGCCAGGACTGGGCAGATGAAGTGAGTGACCTTCTTCCTCTCTGGGTTGAGGGTTAAATACGAAGCTCACACTGGTGGTTATTTTATACCTCAGTAGGTGGTAGACCAATACTTCTGTCTCCACATCTTTCATTCTGTCACTTAGAAGCACTCAAGTTAATCACACTTTTTAAGAACAATTTCCTAACTTTCCAGATCTTGTCCACAAAATGCAAATAGGCATTCCTTTTTTAAAATTCATAATCCATAATCAACTGTGCAGCTCTTAAGGAGTTCACAATTGAGAATGATGAATATCTAAATATTCCAGTCTAAATGTAAATATCACTGTTTTATGATTGTTATAAAGACGGAGTTGGATGCATATTGTCACTTGTCTCAGATAAAACAGGCCAGTCCTTTTTACTTTTGAAGTTCCCGGCAAAAATATGAACTAAGATTAGTAATTATGTCTCTTGGTGTAATTTTTAATCTGTTTTGTACCACTAAAACTGTGTTGGGGAGACTTTGTTTTCATGTTCCTTAGTACAGAGTACAAAATACAACTTGCTCTACCTGTGATGTATTGTAATTTTAAGAAACCCATTTCTACCTGCCTATCAGTTTGTGGCCTTATTGAATTCCACCTTAATTGAGATGAGCAAATATTTACACTGAATAAGGATTGTTAAATAAAAAAGAGAGGTACCTGATCTTTTTTTGTTTGAGCTGTTTTAATTTAATTCTTTTTTAAAGTGTCAAAAGATTAATAGACTACAATAGTAGACCTTAGGTTAGACCTGAAGCTGTTAAATTTCTGGGCTCACCTCCTGAGAGGGGCATCAGTTGCATAAAGCATTGATTCAAAGGGGGGACAAATCACCATGAATATGGAGCATGTCTCTTCTGAAATTAGTTTGTGATTAGGAAAGGCATCAGGCTTTAACTAAAGCATTCTGCTTTATACTCTATACAGTCTCTACTGGCTTTTTTTAAAATTGAAAGTTGAATCCTGGCCTGGAACAAAACATGCATTTTGACATATACTGCCTGAATTCTACTGTACTGCTGGGCCTTTGTGCACACCGGTAGACTGGTATTGAGCTCAAACTGAGGATTAAACCATTAATCTGCCATGTCTCCTAATTATCCTGAATTGCAATGATGATATAAAGCTGAAATACAACTGCATCAATTGTGAAAAGTGGGCTTCATTAGAGTAAATTAATTCATGCATTACACAAAAAGTGGTCCTAGGTGTTTAGAATGTCTTGTCCTGTTTTTTTATAATGTTTTCAGGAGGCTAAGATTCCTTATTTAATTTCTCAATTCTCTGTAAATCTTAGAATGACACATTAGGTGTCCTAAAATCCATTTTTATTTCACACATTTTTTTTGTAATTCACCGTTCTGACACAATGAGCATTTTGAAGTAATGGTAAGTGAAGTGGATGGGGCTTGTGTATCCAATTGATGGTATTGATGACAACTACACAAAGACCCAGAGCATAGGTATGGCAAAGGGTCTCCAAAATTAAATGACTGAGGTACCATAAGGATTTTATTTAGTTTACCTGTAATGGATGTGTACTGGACTCAAAGCGTTGATTACAGAAATGGACATAAAAAAACCTACAAACAAAACAAGCAAATGTTTAGCAGTTTCAAATAATTTTTATGGCAACCAAGAATCAATTGCATAAGAACTATACAATATTGTAATAAAATGTCATTTTTATCTGGAAACATGGCTACTTAAAATCTCATCAGTGTCATAATGCATTATTCAAACCAAGTGAACAAAATAGGATTTCCTTCAGCAATCTACTTCCAATTTCACATATTCCCCTTTGAAATGACATTTTCCTGCATCTAAAATTGCAGTAGTCCTGCAGCTCCAGCTAAAATGTTCTTGCAAATCACAGTTTGATCTGGTATGCTCAGTATTAACTTTTTTACCCATGTTACCAACTTTTAAAACCACTTTTAGGACATGCGGCAGACAGCAGATCCTTGTAAAGTTGTGCTGCTATTACAATGATTTGACACATTTTCCAAAATGGGTACTTGGGTGCATTATTTGAATTAATTTGTCCCTCTTGCAAATCTTCAATCGAAGTGACATTCATTTTTTACCTATCCTAGGTTATTTTTGTTTCTTCTAGAGATGTAAATGTATAAGGTGCAAATTGAAAGCAATCCATTTTTTTTTTATATAATGGGAACGACCTAAACGGGCATCTATGCAGAGTAATCCAAAATGAACTCAAGTCAATCCATTGTCAGTGCTTCCCAGCAAGAACAGCATGGCCACCAACCACTGCTTAAAATGTTCCAAAACAGTCCATAGTAGTCATCCATGATAAATATGCCAAAAGTGAAGAAAAAAATGCTTCTCCCAGTTCTCTACTAAAAATATATCGGATGAGTATTGCAGATGTTTGCAGTAGGTTCACCTGTACCTTTGTGTTGTAAACTGGCTTCATCCACAATGCCAGCCATATTTGTTAATAAATGTTATTGCCATGCGCTCTACATAAGTGTAGAGGTTAAAAGCACTAGCCTCATGGCTTTTGTTACAACATCCCATATGCATGTACTAATGTGAACTCTGTAGTCGATGCAGTAGTCTTTCTTCCAGAGGTTCTCCTCTTTACCCATTGTACCCATGCTGCAGAATGAATTCTAGGACCAAATGAGCCTGCATCCCAAAGCTGGTCTCTCCTCTTTCCAGGCAGTATGTTACTGACAGTGCCTTTGGAGAACACTGAGAAGTACCAGAAATGGAAGAATTAGTTGTTATGAAGAAAGTGTTGGGGGGGTAGAGTGTATTGCCAATAAAACTTACATTGACTTGGGGATTAGCGTTGTCCCTCTGCAAACTTCACTTAGTTCTGCAGAGGTAATCTGTGTTAAAAATGAATATCCCAGCACCATCAGAAGGGGGCAGTCTTCTGGTCGTTTGCAGTCCAGCTTCTTAGCCTCAGTAACGGCTCAAACTGGCCAGAAAACTGGGTTTTAGGTTTGGTCTTTCGAAGTCGAGGAGCGAGGAAAAAGAACGTTTTCAAATGGTTCGTTTATAAAGCCGACCCCCCCCCCCGCCGCGGCGACTGAAAGAGGGCCCTGCGGCGTGGCCTCAGCGCTGGCCCGTGTAGGACCTGAACCAGGAGGTGACGGAGGCGGCGGCCGAGGAGATCATGCCCCCGGCGCTGCCGCCGCCGCCGGCCGGCTGGGAGGCCTGCAGGGCGGCGCTCTGGGACAGCTCCATGGGCTGCGAGGGGATGTCGCAGAAGCGAGGGCTGGGCACGGTTTCCCAGTCGGTCCCCAGGTCCGTCTCCTCGTCGGTCACCGCCTCGTCCCCGCTGTCCTCCGCCGGGCCCGCTGCACTGGGCTCCACAATCTCCATCGAGTCTTCCAGGTCAGCAGTGATCTCGAAAGGACCCGTCCTACGCAAGCAGAGGAGTAGCATCCTTATCGGGCATACAGAAGATCGATTTCCCCTGCGCCACATCACAGCATTCCCGAACTGTCCCTTAGGACATAAACTTGAGGAATGAAAGGACTAGCGCACTGTGCTTTATTCCAGCTGTTTAAATGACCGCATGCTTCTCCAGCCTCTAGGTGGGGAATTTATAGAACAGCTGAAATTTCAACAATGCAATTCTACATTATAAATTACACCTCATGACAACGCAGTAAAAACCCATAGAACTCAGTGCAGTGTCAAAATAATTACTAAAAATCAAACGCCACCAGTTATCACAGGACTAAACTGGAAGCAGAGGTCCTGGAATCGATAAATCTTTTGCCTGCACAATTTTTCTTTTCCTTCAAGAACAGAAGTGAGGACGGCTTTTCTCACCTGCCCAGGTTCCTGTTGTCTGGACTCACCAGGAACATGATGTTCCTCAGCGTGTGGTGAGGGTGCAGAAGCTCACTTTCCACGTGCTGTCAGACCAAGAACATCCTCTCAGTAAATGCAAACAGTAGCATAACAGTCATGCAGAAATGTATAGAGCAGAATTTCAGTAAATGTTGAGCTTCACTGTAGGAGCAGACAAAAGCAGTATATAACCTTGCCTTTTTCTAGTCAGAAGGCTGGGATCAGATCTTATGTGGGTTTTTTTTTTTACTGTATGCGAGGCGGTGCTGGAGTACCTGAGAAAAGCAGAGGTGCAAGATGTTGGTATTCAGCTTGTTCACACCCCGAATGAATCTGTATCTGCTCAGATTCTCACCACAGAACTCACTGGAGAGGAAACAACAAGACTACAGGTAAAAGGTATTACTTCACACAGCATCCTGTTTTCGTGTACCAGCCAGCTATTTCGATTACTAATTTTTAATGAAACATGGCATAAAATAAGACTTCTATGAATGTCAATCTCGTTATCTGAATGAAGAATGTGCATGTCTTTCTAGAAACAACTGCCTTGTACTACTGGGAAGCCTTTCATGAATGGCTTATGTACAGAGTATTGAGCAGGAATTATTTTATTTTCATTCCTAATCCATAATCAGAAGGGCCTTATAATTTCTTGTCTCTGCGGAATAGAAAAGAAATCTCAATCTTAATGCACCCTTTACATTAGAGCAAGCTATGCTTTTGCTACCAAAATCATGATGTAACTACTGGATGGTTTCATAAAAAACATTCAAGAAAACAGTGCTGTGTGACAGCTGGGTTTTGAGAAAAAAGGGTATTCATTTCCAATTCTTCATTGGCATGTGCTCCTATTTATTTTCAAACTACACGGTGTGGGTCTGTGTTCTTCACACCTGCATTATATTAAGAAAGAAACAAATGTGAAGTGTTTGATGCTACAGTAAAAAGCTGGGAGCCCAAAAAGTATGACTGTAATTGTTATTGCTGATCATTTTATGAGCTGCGACAATATGTCTGCTTTACTTCATTACACGGTTTAACAAACACCACTGCTGATTAAGAACAGATTTTAATTTCCATCACTCCCCCTGTAACAGGCTTTTCGGTCTATTCCTTCTAAATCCTCAGCTGGTGGCAGTTCTAACATCGGTCCTTTCTTAAGCACTGCGTCCTACGGGGAACGCAGAAGCTGAGGTCCAGCGCACTCTTGCTCAAGAGGCTTCAGGCTGGGTCACGCGGCCTGTTGACAGATGGAAAAGGCAGAGGAAGACGAGGGCTCTCACCTGTTGCAGAGTTTCTTGGGAAGGTTGACATCCAGAATGTGCGACAGGATGTTGACCAGCTGAGTTGCATAGCAAAGAGCAGCACTGATGGTGTGGGCAGGGTTGATGTGATCGGTCTCTGGAGAGACAAGAGAACCGTACGTTGATTCAAAGCTTCTCTGCCGAGCAGATATTTTGCCGGTGGACGTCACAAGTAACACTATTTTCTGGCCTCTGTCCCTTATCAACCCCTTCAGTGGGTTCCCAATACTTGCCCTGGAGGCCCACACACCTGCTGGTTTTCATTTCATCCCAACGTAATTAGGCATTTGAAGCCTTAATGGATCCAAGAAGTTGCTTCATGCGCATGTCTGGGATTTTATTTCACTTACAAAATCCAACAGCTGAAGCTCCAGCAGGTTTAAGAGCTGGTAATGAAGAGTTTAGATTAATCTGATTATTAAGTCGGTGAAGGGTCCGATTGTGTAACTGAGAAAGTAAAAAAAACACCAGACGTGTGGGTCACCCGGACCAGGATTGGGAATCGCTGAGCTAGAGGGAGGCGTGTGAACAGGCTGAACAAGGTACCAGGTCCCTGGGTGGCTCTCTTCTCCTCTACCCAGTTATAATACGCAGAGTAGTCCCCGTTGCTGGGCAAGGTGATCCAGGGCCCGGTGATGCTGATGCTCGTCTCCCCATTCTGGTCGTCCCAGACCCAGCGCCCGGACAAGTAGGTCGTGCGACGGGCCTCAGCCAGCTCGCTGACCGTGCTGGAGGTCAGCGCCAGGTCCCACTCGGCCACCACGTCAGCAGGGTCCCTGAGGGTAGGGGCAGAGTGCAGTGAGCTTGGCGTTCAGGTTTCACCGACATCTCACCACAACGGGACGCCTCTTAAAGTACACGAGCAGCTGCTGGAAATTCCCCTCCCGAGAGGGTTAAATAAAAGACACAGCGAGTCCTCTGTTATTTTATCTCACGCTGTTGCTTATCCTGTATGCCCTGCATTACCCCCCAGTTGTTTAAGCACTTTTTCACATCAACTAAGCCTATACAAATAAAATCAGAAACCTGCTTACCAGGGATTGTATTGAGGAAGCTAACTGGCATCAGCAGAAAAAAAACCCTGTCAAGAAATGTAGGCCCTTTAGCTGGTAAAACATTACTATACGTCCCCAGTTTTCTCCTCTCCTTCTCAGCAGAGCTACAGAAACTGAAAATGTGCAAAGATCCAACTTGACTTTGGGAATCCCACGCACTCAGCTTTTCAGATATTAATTATAATCACAAAGATGATACACTGTACAGCCATAGCACCTAAAATATCCTCAGGATTAAATGCATTCCAATTAACACATCAAAATGTCACATTTTAAGAAGCTCTAGACTATGGCATCTGGTACAGGTCCTTGCCCAAGTGCAGGCTGTCTATGATCCCAGTTCTGACCCCGGGTCACGTCACTAGCCAACTGTGATCAGAAGTCCCCCAAGTGGGAGTGCTTAATTAAGGGGTCAGGGAGGAATTATTCAGACAGTGATCTGTCAGATCTCAACAATACTTTGACCCCTGTGGCCTCCTGACCACTGGCAGGTATATGGTGCTGTCAGGGAGAGAAACTACACTGAATCAGCCCCCAGTATGGGGCTGTGCTGCCACAGACATGTTTAAAGGCTCACGGCAGACAGTTGTTTTTCACAATGCAGTAGTCATTGTCTTCATTTCATCATTCTCCCATGTGGTCACACTGATCACATTCGAGACAAGAAAAATACACAGCCATTCCAAATTAGGTGGGGATAATTAAAAAAAGCGATAATTAATTAGTGATTCCAAGTTTAAAAACAAACGTGTGCCACATTCACACATGCAAGACCAAGCACTCTAAAGACCCCTAGGTATTGTAACATAGGACTGGGTGAAAACAGATTGTTTTCAACAATGAGAAACTTGTATAAGCAACACTAAATTCCCATTAAAATACTGTGTGAAAGTCTCCAATACATTACAGTTGCTTGTAACTGTTGAGATTAGGTACTTTTTTGATGTTTTTGAATAGTTTGACACCATACATTGCCAAATATATGTTATAACACATAGACTCTTCCAGCACTTCTTTTTTAGGCCAGTTATGTTTAAAGATATTATGAAGCAGGGTGGAAATAAGATTTGCATGATCTCCTACACTAGGCATAAACAATAAATGTTATACTAATCAAATTTCTTACCCAACACTAATATTCTAATTACTAAATGGGCAAGGACAGAATAAAACCCATAAATGTAAAAGCAAGAGAAAGCATCAAGCTGTCTGGCAATACTGTTACCGTGCATTAATAGTGCATATAATCAAAATAAAACATTGTATAAAATGTTACAATTTGTGCATTGATACTATCAAATATTCTTCTACACCACAATAACCTTACCATTTCTGTCAAAAGGGGAACTCCAGCCCCAATTTCTTAGATCAGTTAAAAAATAAACTGACGTTATAGAAAAAATGATAAGTTTCGAATTAAGTACAAAACTGTAAACTTCATGAAAGTCTTCTATGTCGCCATATTGTCACAAACTCTCATTCGAGTTCCTACAAATTTCGACAAGATGCGGCCCTTCCTGCTCACTAGTCTCAACAGTGACTAATGTAATGCAATATATTGAGCAGAAAAATACAGGTTGTGCAGCAGACATTTCACCGCAGAACTGTTCCAATGCGTCTGCATGCAGAGTTAACAAGTAGTATCAGTCTGCAAAACAGTCTCAAAATGGAAAGTAAAATTTCTATTGGATTAAAAGACGTGTATTGACAAACCTGCTTGTTTACAAAGTCATAGGGCTGCAACATGTCCCCAGAAGTTTTGCTGCCTCATTCTGAACACGGTGCTGTGCATACCTGGAAGTCTGGTCTATTTTGTAATGTAAATTGGAGGTTAAACATGTTACCGTGTTCATTTTACTGTTACTGCGTTTTGAAATGCACTCATCAATGCCGATTCTCCCTAACCCCTCTATGAAATAGTGTTGCAGTCCTCCCCCTTCACAATGATTAAGGCGACTCCCAAGAGGAGAAGGAAGATCAAACAAAGCACAAGCCACATGCTTGGAGCTCGTCTTAGCAGGCGGAAGTATGACAAAAACGGGTCTGTGTAAGTCTCGCTCTTCGGAGCGAGCCCTCGTAGGTGCTGACCTCGCGCCCTGCTTCTCCTCCTGCATGGGGAAGATGTGCGCAGTCAGCTCCAGGATGTGGCCGCAGCGAAACCCCGCCAGCTGCCCCAGCCGGGCCAGCAGCTCCTTCCCCCGTTTCTCCAGCAGCTCCCCGAGGCGGCGGTTGTGCCTCTCGATCTTCTCCTTCTTGTCCTGGTGCCGGTGGGCTCGCCGGCACAGGCGCTGGCTGTCCTCCTGGGCCCGCAGCAGCTGCTCTGTGCCTGAGGGGACACGCAAACCAACACACGCTTGCACCCCCCAAGGAAGGAACCAGGAAGATCACCCGGGACTCGGGTTGTCTTAGTCTCGAGAGACCTCCTGTATCTCCGTCTTTACACCTCTGATAAAAAATATAGTCCTGTAGTTACAGCTCTTAGCTTTCAAAGGGAGGAGGGAGCATAAAACCACACTGACACCATCCAGCCATTTTCCTTGCCTACTTTATCCAGTACAGGGTCACAGGGGAGCCAGAGCCTATCCTAGCAAGAAACATGCACAAGGCAGGGTGCACCCTGGCTGGGACACCAGTCCCTCACAGGGCAGACACACAGACACACCTGGGCTACTTTTTTCCAGAAGCCAATGACCCTACCAGTAAGTCTTGAACTGTGGGAGGAAGCAACATGGACTGGGGAGAACACGCAAACTCCACACAGATAGCACCCCAGGAACCAAATCCAAGGACCCAGTGCTAAGAAGCCACTGATACCAACAAACCAAAGATAAAACCTCCAAAAACGTAGGACAAGGTATAGCACACCCTCAAACACAAGCACCAAAGCTTTGGAAATACTTCCAGTGCAACATGTCATGAAACAGCACTTGGTGCAGAAAAATACCATCAGCTGACAGCAGAAGAACAGGACTTACTGACCCAGTGGCTCACCAAGCTTCTTCCCTGGACACCTACCATTTTTCACCTCTTCGTTTCCACAGCAAATCGCTTCTTTCAGCTGCTCGATTCGCACTTTACAAGACATGATCTTCCACTTCTGAAAAAATAAAACAGCAGGGTAGCCAGCGTATGGTAGATGTGTCTCACTATAGCTAGGAATACAGAGTAGTTTGCTGACATTACTACACACAAAAAAATATAAGGACTCAAAATTCTGAAGCTACCAATTATAACTGCTAGAAGTGTATAGCTTTAAAATAAAAAAAACATCAGAAAACTTACTAGCTGGTCAGCTTGAACCTTCTTGTCCATGGCTTTAATAAGTCTAAGGACACAAGAGAAAACCGCTAATAAGGGGATCACAAGAGGGCCAAATGACCACAGAATACATCAGCACAAAGACACCTCTCGTTCGGTTTTCTTTTGAATTTGATTTAGCTAACAGAGAATGAAATACCTTAAAGTTTAACTGAAACTTCTATCACTCTTGGCTTTATATTTATTTTTATGCTATACATATATTGAAACACTGTTGTTAATCATTTTAGTCATTTTCAGCTAGTTTGGGTCATACCTCTGCTGGAGCTCTTCCTTCTTATTCTTTAGCTGTTTCAGTCTCTCTAGTTTATCTGAATACCTGTAAGAAAGTAGCGGCAAAAACTTGTCTATTCATTGCAATGGATTGGTTGCAGTCCAGTTCCCATTTTGCTAACTCGCTGCACTGCACACCTGTGGTTTAGCACTCCGCGGGAACTTTTTACAGGGATAAAGGCAGCACTGGGCTCTACTGTTTCAGCATGTACAACACGTTACGACCGGATATTTCTTGGATGTCGAAATCAGCGACACCACTCGAATGTGCTTAGTCACTTCGGCGAGCTTTACAACAATCCCAGTATGTTAAGATTAACTGATCGTTTCATGTACATGTCAGCAATAATTTATTGCATTTTAAAAAGACCTTTTCGTTTAAAAGAGTCGAAACGAAAATGAGTATACGCTCCTACACTTCAGTACTTCTAGGCTGCCAAATTTAGCAACAAAAAGACGTACTCGCACGCAACTCAAAACACGCGTTTAACTTTCTCTTCAACTTTCTATTCGAAACTTCTCCCACGGATTTCGAAACGAATCGGAACCTTTTGACACTTCGTCATATAATCGGTCATCACCGAAAGCACTCTGCATCACAAAAATCCGAAACAAGCAACCGCTTCGACGTTACTAAACAGATTCCGAAGTTTGTTAGCAAGAGGATCATTTTCTGCCACCGGACAAAGGGTGACATGTACGAGCAAGCCTGCGGCTTTGCGACTTCTGTGTGACAGAAATACCGATGTTCCGTCTAAAAAAAATAGCAATGTGGGATTTACCGTTCGGGTTTTTTCCCATCAAAGTGCACGAAGTCGCCCGCCTGGATGCAGCGGGCACAGGTGAGCCTGCGGCGGGCAGTGTTGCACAGGGGACACCGCTCCACGGCCACGTACAGCCCCTCCGCATCGTCCACCGACTCCACCATCAGAGGCCCGGGGGAGGCGGCTTCCATCGTCGCGGCCGGCGGATGGGGCCGGAGAGGAGGCCGAGCCCCAGGCAATGCCCCCGCTGCCCCCTCGCCAGGGCCGGTCGCACGGGCTTCGCGATCCACGGGGGACGCCATGAAACCGGCGGAGCTCATCCGCAGACCGCCTCTCCTCCGCTGGCCCGAGAGCCGTCTCTGCTCATCGCCGGGGGAGCGCGATCACAATCTCCGCATCCGTGTTACGTGGGGTGGGAGTCTTTAAATAGCTAATTCCGAACCTTGGCAGGACGAAAAGGAGGTAAATAAGAATGGATGTAGTCCAGGGTCCCCCCCCCGTGTCACGTGACGAATCTTTGTTTTTGTGCGGCGGTCACGTGGAGAGGGAGGAGGGCCGCACTGCATGCGCGGAACTCGGGGTCACGTGGTGGGTTCATTGTCGGCCGTCACCTTTGCTGTTGGATCGGGTGTTAGCCAGAAAACCGCGTTGTGCAAATACATGCAATAAAGAGAAAGCTATCGGGCTTGGCTTTCTTTAAAAATGCCTTTCAGCTGTGGCATTTTTTATGCAGATATATTGGCAGATAAATTGGTTCTTTTAAGGGAAAACAATCCCATTTTAGTTTTGTCATATAGACAAAATTACAGGTTCAGTTTGTTCTCCATCAGGCGAGACACGAAAGCTGCTCTAGGAATTTGTGAGACCACACGTTAACAGAAACGCGTGCCTGGGCCAATCTGAACATCTCTAATGTTCAGATTAATTACAATAAATTAAAAGGAGACATACGTCGTATTGGCATCTATTAATCATAAACCTATACTAAAAAAACTTGACTGTGCACAATTCATATTTATGAAACAATTCTGTCAGTTCTAATTCCAAATCAAAACCAATACACAGAATATTACCTTAATATTCTGCAAACCTCTTAGAGCACAAACGACAAGAAAAACGTCTTCCAAAACAAATACCAACATATTTGTTTATATCGGTTTACATTATTTACATTGTACTCTTACATTATCTTAGAATACACACTTTGCTCCACATTATTTCAAAAATACACATACAAAATTCAATTTAAATATTTAAATACATCTGGAAAATTTCTGCTTGCAGTACATCCAGGAGAAAAGACATTACTTTCACTGCTTTTTGAATCCCTTCAGGATGGGGTAGATATTTTCAAAAGCTTCATAGATCTCAGAACGTTCTTTAGCCCCTGTGAAAACAAAGAGCACAACTGGGGATTTATAGTGATCAGAGCCTTGTTATTACCGTGTCACGAAATTACAAGAATAAGGGTATCCTTAATACCCTTATTTGTGTAATCCATGAATTTACAAGAATATGGGTATGATTTATGTCTTATAGTTACAAGAGATAAGCTACAACAGATATTAAGATACATGTGTATGAAGCACAGGTACTGTGCCAGTGTTGATGAAGTTATCAAGATCAACTGGAACAAATTAATTAGTAAATTATTCAGAGCACTTTTGCATGTTCTTGTTCAAGTGCCATTGTGATGCATGCTGTTGTTTTTCTGCGTCACTAGGAATGGATGTTTTAATATGTTCATATCTGGAGATCTCTGATCCCTGATATTATCCCCGCAGGGAAGGGATAAGGTATCCAGGTGATCTAGTCCAATGCAATGGCCCCACACAGTACTTACCCGTCAACACCACCTTCCCCGAGACGAAGATCAGCAGCACAATGCGGGGCTTCACCATGCGATAGATCAGCCCTGGGAACAGCTCGGGCTCATAGCTGGAACACAGGGGTTAGAGGGGGGATTCTGTGATCAGAGCCAAAGAACATCCAGATACAGGGCCCACTGAAACACACACACAGCTTCGCTTTCTCTCTGTCACTGTTTCTACAAGGAGGAAAACAGTCTCTCAAAAATGCCCCACAAAAATGGTCAATCTTATATCTTATGTTATATCTTAAAAATAGTAAATGTTATATCTTACGAAAGACTTTTAGGAGGTATCTTTGGCTCAGCAAGCTCTGTAAGAGCCTGCAAACGTCAATACTGTGCTTTCTTAGTTAATACCTCTCCGTCTTTGCCAAATCTTTCCTGCACTCAGGTGTGGTTTGGAAAAACAGGGTGATAGCAAGGCCTTTTTCTGCTTCTGTTGTGCATTCATGGTAGTGTTAAAAAAAAGACTTCCCTGGCCTCCTTTCCTGGCATCATGGTAACAAATCTAGGTGGGTGGTTTGAGTCACTGTGTGAACAGGGAAACACAAGACCCATGTACTAACATAGAAACAACAAGCTTGGATCAAATCCAAGAAAGAGACTGGGTTTTGCTTCTGAATTAAACAAGACTGAGGAGAAAGTGACTGCCTACATAACCTGGTCCCAGTTTATCTCCCACAAATTCAGTGGGAAAAGGGAATGGATCAAGATTCCACATTGCTAGGAAAAGTCTACTGATTATTAGTCTACTCTTCTAATTTGTGATGGAAAGAATTACCTCTTTGTTGAGACTGCAGGCGAAGAATTTCTCTGAAAGACGGTAGCCACTTATAAACAAGATAGAAGGATCAAGGGACAAATTAGTGTAGCTAAGTTTTGATGAAAAGGTATACAAATTAATGTAAAACTTAAATTAAATGTTAAAAGTTAACAGAAATATTAAAGTATGTTAAAACCTTTAGGTCACAGCAGTATTACTTAGCTCACCTGTCTATGTTCTTTTTTGTTGGTTTCAATATATTTTAATTGAATGGCAATAAATGTTATTTTCGCATCTGTAGTAAAAATGTACACAAGATAATTTGACGTGACACATCTGCAAGTATATGCACACTAGACTGCTTGAGAATTTTTTATAACTTGTTTTTGTGGATGGGCTTGTGCATGGAAAGATGGAAAAATAATAAAGTTGCAAAAAAAAACCCTATTTGGTAACCTTTCTGGAATGCATGAAGTGAATAGGATTTCTTTGTGGTGGGTAGCACCATCTGGTGGCGAAGTGGGGTTTAGCACCCGCCACTGCATACCTGCTGAATTGCTGGTGAGTGAGCACCAGACCCTCGAGGCGGATGGGGAAGCAGACATCACAGCTGCCCACCATGTTCTGGATCTTGAAGTCCAAGAATTTGGCAGGGAAGCCCAGCTTCTGCACCACCCGAGCATACTTCCGGGCAGCTAATCGTGACTGCTCCTCACTTCCAGGAAGGGGAGATGGAAACAGCTTTTACATATACCGGCATCAGATAGAGTACAATCTAGTCTCCATCTGTAACTTTATAGTTATAAATGGCTTCCTACCTATTGAGGATGTTCACATGGCACAACAACACATAAGCATTTTAAGCAATTTTGTTAGATCTTCTAAGCAAGGAATTATTGTATTAATTTCAGAACTAAATAGCTCCTTCCTCCCAGGAGACTACAAAACAATGCTTTGCTAGTGCAAAACATTCACCAAGTCATTCAAACAGTAATCATCAAAGGTAAGTTGCAGGCCTTATTAATTTGCTTTTTCTTTAGAGAGATTCACTTACACTGTTTCAACACACTGGTTTTACCAAACAAGAATTGATTCCTGGTATCCCAGTCAAAGCCAATATTTCTCTCACTGCAAAATCAAGGCTTTTGTAAGCCCAGAACCTGCCCTGCCTCTATGTCAATGTCAGGTCAGCATTAATCGGCCTTGTGCTCAGACAGGAGGTGTGCTGTGCAGGGTCTCCTCACCTCTTGGCACCTGTGCAGACCATCTTTCCCGAGCTGAAGATCAGCGCGGTGGTCCTGGGCTCCCGAATCCTCATGATCACAGCCGCAAAGCGCTGTACAGAGAGGACAGTGCATGAACCACAGTAAATATGACCTGCGTCGCTTTAAAAGTATTTGTCCGGACATCTCTAGAAACAGTTACTCCTCAGCGTGTTAGACTGCTCATCCACTGCTGAAGGCAGCTGAATGAAATACCAGACAAGGTTCTACAAAGTCCCAAAGGAATGATATCAAGCAGAGTGGAATGCTGGACAAAACGAACTTCCTCAGACGCCGAACACTGTTAGAAGTATTTTGTTCTTCACAGCGTTTATGCCCCCACAGCGCTGCTGTTACACAAATAACCCCACAGGCACTGTGCAGCGTGGCACCCCCGTTACCTTGGGGTTGTACTCGGCATTTCGGGCCTGCAGAGCTATGGACTTCAGGTCCAGACTGCACGCCAGGTTCACAGTGGACACGATGTTTCTGCGCACAAAGACCAACAGCACAGCGTTGGTGCCCCTTTCACTCACATAAACACATGTGTGTCTAGCCTCTTGACGGAAAACAGAAGAAGTTAATTGAAACTGGCAACTGCGAGACAAATGTTTCCGAGGGAGGGGTGAATCAAGCACCATTTCTTGTTTGCGAACGTGACTTTTTTCAATTGTATGGCTGAAAGCCCAGTTCGGAGTCTAGATTGTGGGAATAATAACTCACGTATATCCAAAATATTCCTTTTTTACATTATGATTCATATTTTAAAGACTAGGTAACTAGGTGTTCTGCTTCCCTCAGTGCGAGAAATGACACCACAATTACAATGGGGCACACTTACTGCAGCTGTGGGACTATTCCGGAACTTTCAGACACCGGCGTCATGGGGGTCATGGGGGTCATCGGGGTCATGGGAAGGGGGCAGAAAGGGGAGGCTCCTGGGGGAGCCTGGCTGGTCTCTACAGTAGGGGCAGGCTCACCCGGCATGCCCCCCTCATAGAATCCACTGTCCTGTGTGTTCTCAATCCCCTGAGTTTGGGGCAGCTCATCCTGAGCGGTGAGGTCATCTGGGAGGAAGCTGAGATCAACCCCAGAGAAATCTTCAGAGAGATCCTTGTCCTGCTGGTGTCCCACGGAGGACAGGAAGGAGGAGCTGTGGAGTGGGGGGTCCACCTGCAGGCCTAGGTCCCTCTCATAGCCCATCATGGGGGTATAGGGGCACTCAGAAGAGTCCTGGGAACAGAGCAGACACAGCCAAAGTTCTGGAAAGCTCCGCAAAGCTGCCTTATAGAGCTGATAGGTCGCTAGGAACCTGTTATACTGATTCATATCACTATAATGGCCAAGCGCAACAAAACTCCAAAACAAGGAAATTTCACGTTGAAAACCTTTCTTCTTTTTAATTTTCAGCCTGAAATCGATCTTGACCTGTTCTTTTACAACCACCTCCCACTGCCTTTCCCGAAACGACTAGGCTTTATTGTAAGCGATACAATATTACAATCAAGTAAAGCTCCAAAATATGAATGTCAGTTACTTAAAAAAATAGAATTTGTTTTTAGTCTTCTTGGTGGGCACATAACCAACAAGAACCGCCTGCTCAAATAATTTAAATCTAATACTGGTGTTCCTTGATTCAGGAAACGTTTTGTAGACACTTTTTCTATTGTCACGGACGTAATTTCAGCTTCCCACAAGCCGGTCAATACAACTCCCATATAAAACCTAAAATTTCAAAATTTACACATAAACACTGGAGTAAAGCTTAGACGTAAACTTGATCACCCGCAGTTACTTACATTGGCAATCGAATGGTCAAAATAGCTTTCCAGAGAAGACTCTCCATCCATTAGGATCCTTTGTACATAAAGTTATCGAATAAGAACAAAAGCTTTTTTATTTTGACTCGACCCAGAGATCAAATTCTGCGTGACGTGCAACTGCGGTTGTTGTCTAACTTCATCTCCGGTTTTTTCTTAATTCGCTTTACTGAGACGACACACTCATCATTCGGTTAATCATGCTAATTGACAACAGGTTAGGTTTCGTCATTAAAAACCGGGAGTATTGTTTGATTTTCACCTCTTTCGGGGGAAACAAAAAAAAACATTTTCATTGTGCTTACGTTCAGAACTGAGTATGTAAAAGATGGGAAAAGAATTGTGAACTTATTCGGCAGGAATTATATCACGAGACACATTATATTAAGTCTTATCACGGAGAATATGCATTGAATTAATAGAAGAAGTCGGACAAAAGAAGACTGCATTTCTCAATATAAACCCCAAAGTTTGTTTAATGTGATTTTAAACAAGATTGTGTTTATTATTATTAGCAGAAGTGGTAATGACAATTCAAGTCTTCAGCTGTTTAAGATTTAAAGAGATGTAGAAATCCCGAAGAATCCGTAATCTCAAGGAGTTGTGCTTGAACATCGGTGAGGCGCGCGGCATCGACTTTGGTTTTATTCAGCCTCCACCCAACAGGGGGCGCGATGCCACAGAAAAGCTGAAAAACATGATCAGCAAAACCTTTCTAGGTTACATGACAATCGATAGTTAGGAACTGGTGAGACGTTTTTGTGTGTGCATAACCCGCATTTGCTTTTAATTTTCAAACTGTATTTATGTGTGTGATTGTTTTGACATGATCCTATGGTTGTCATGGCAGACGGATTGGACGTGCTAAAAACATGCTTAAAACATTTCTCTGAAGAGGCTCGGGGTGAGTTGGTTACTCATTTATGGAAATGCATTTCTGATAATTGGTAAGGAGTGCTTCATTATTAATGCGTGATTCAGTAAGGTTTTGATTAGTGCGTCTCATTCAAGATTAATAGGCTGCTCAGTTTAATTACCAGGACCCACGTGCTGGGCAATGTTATTTTAGTATGCAAGGGTGAATATACTTTATCTTTTTTTAATTTATGACTGGCAAATGTAATACAGAATACATCACTGTTTTGCGGGATACATTATTTTAAAATCGGTGCAACATTCTAAAATATACACAATATACGAGGTATTTACCACGTTGTCCTTTAAAGTCGTATAAAATTACGTTCATATAAAGGGAGGGGTAAGAATATTGTTTAATGGCTTGCTTTTTCGTCACCAGAGCTCTACCTGAACAAAGATGTGCCATATTTAGAGTGCCCCCCATCTCCTCTGGAGTTTTATCGGGAGTGGATTGGCCCAAACAAACCCTGTATCATTCGCAATGCATTCAACCACTGGCCAGCCTTGTGCAGGTGGAGTCCTGCTTACCTCCGGTAGGTCTCTTGCATTAGTCCACACTGAAGCTCTCAGCTGGCCAGAGAGCCATGGGAACAAAATGACTTTATTTACCGGTCTTTGTCCTTGTTTGGTTACATTTGCAAAAACAAAAAAGCAAACAAACACGCAGGTCATTTGGTGTCGTCTTTCAATTTTGGGTTTCAGTGGTGCAGTCCTACAATTGGCCCATGTTGTGTGTGTGTCTGCCTTGCAGTGGGCTGATGTCCCATCTTCGGGTATGAAGTTTCGGGCCGAAATATTGTTTATTTTCTTCTCTTTTCAGTACGGAACAAACCTTTACATGTTTCTTTGCAGCCTATGCATGCGGACACGGCTACCTCCTTGAACTACTGTCTTGGGAAATGACTTTAATACCAACATAAGCTACCTGACTATGCAGAACCAGGTGCTATTGTTTTTTCTTTCTTCAAGGGTACAGTAATGTGACAGTCCTGTGCGTTCCTGCAGGGAGAGAGTGGGCTCAAAGGTGATCAGTGTCGCTGTCACTCCAAATGGCTATGCCGATGCAGTATGCGGTGATCGATTCGTCATGCCTGAGGAGCGGCACATGCCCTTTTCCTCTGTCCTGGACATCATGGAGCGGAAGGTGGAGAGTGAGGGAGTGTTCTATGTGCAGAAGCAGTGCTCCAACCTGACTGAGGAGCTCCCTGAGCTCACAGAGGACTTGGAAACTCACATCCCCTGGATGAGTGAGGCCCTAGGTACAGTACATGGAACTTGTAGAAACATTGCTATCCTATGGATAGAACATTCTCTGAATGGCTGCCCTACAGTTAGAAATTTTTTTCATTGTAGTGGGGTCTTAAGAGTAGTTCCTGTTCTCTTTTCACTTGTCGGTCAAGTGTGTTTGTGAGCAGATTGTCCTGTGAGGGTTTTGGACAACTCAATTTGTAGAAGAGTCTCTAGAAAGAGATTCAACATTTGAGATACATTTTTTCCTAACATAGAGCTGCATATTACTTTAGTGGCATTCATTATTTTCATGGTCTTTTTAGGGAAGAAGCCTGACGCTGTGAACTTCTGGCTGGGAGACTCTGCTGCTGTTACATCATGTAAGCATTACAGTGATAGACATCAGATGCAGAAAAATCATATGCAATTAATGTTGCCACTGACTCTAACGTATAGAAACAGCAGTTATACTGTAACGTGATCTAAGATCTTAGCTTTTATTCCCTGGAGTAGAGGTGCTCAGTTGTTGTTCTTGTTTCCAGTGCACAAGGACCACTATGAGAACTTGTACTGCGTGATCACAGGAGAGAAGCACTTCATTCTCATCCCCCCATCAGACAGGCCCTTCATTCCATATGGTAACCTGGATATTTTGTAATGTTTGCACTTCCTTGGGATAGCTAGTGCAGCCTTTTCAGCAAAGAAATTGCACAAACCCCAAAACACTTTTAAATTTACAACAACTCAAGTAGAAAGTAAACAAAAATAATCTCTCATAAACCTAAGTAAAAGGCAATATTTCCCAATTATTACAGCTAACACTATTTGCAAATCGAATAACAGCAGAAGCGGAAAAATACTCTCCACACAAACTCAATTAAATGGGAACAAAAAAAACATGTAATAGATTTAAAAAAAATCCTTAATTTACTTAGCACTTTTCTGGACACTCCGTTTAAAGTGCTTTACAGGTAAGGGGGACTCCCCTCCACCACCTCCTCCACCAATGTGCAGCCCCACCTGGATGCTCCCCACACACTAGCTACTGGATCAGTGAGGAGGAGAAAAGAGTGATGAAGCCAATTCATTACACTGCCTTGCTTAAAAAATCCAGTACAGAATACACAAGGGGCATAATCATTGAAATGTCTGAGTATTCCTTTAAATAACAATAAAAACAAATCTACAGTAACACTGTTCTCTGCAAGTGAGATGGATCCGTTTTGAGGTCCTGCAAGGTTTTCAATTTTCCTGGAGTATGAAGGGAATTTACCTACCGTAGCACTTGTTGGGCTTAGGGATAAGAGTTTTGCAAAGTTTATAGGCAAATGGTTATGGATTTGCATAACCTGGAGGATGGATATAAAGAAATTTCACAAAAATCTGAATCTACCCTTTACCACTGTTGTGTCCTTTATGTACAGTATCTCCCCAGGATGGGCTGGTTCAGAGGGCAAATTTAAATCTAAAGGCAACGGTATCAACACAAATCGGCATCTTCAGGACACAAAGTGTTGATAATGAGCATACAGTGATTTGCTAAAATACGTTAGAATAACAATTGGCTCCGTGTCTCATGGTCAGGTAAAGCACACTGCATGAGAACACTGAATAAGATATATAGCATGCTTTAGGTGAAAGGAAGGTTAAATATCGTCCAGGAAGAGCCAGGATGCTCACAGAGCTCTTCCTGTGTCTGTATTCCTGTGACTAGAGCTGTACCAGCCCGCCACATTCAGCCAGGGGGAAGATGGCACGTTCGAAGTGGTGGATGAGCAGAACGCTGACAAGGTAAGAAGACAAAGGATTGCAAGTTGCCCATAATGTCTCAGTCCTGTACTGCTTCCTGCTGCTGTGATACTCCCTGCAGAGCTCTGTGATGAAATAAGGAATCTATTAACCTAACTGTTCATTGTGCCTCCTTACATATTCATGTAATAGACTAGAATGATTAGAAGCTCTCTGGGAAGCAACTATTTTAATACATATCTCTTATTGTATTTGAAGTATGCTGTATAAACACTGTCTTCAATCGTGTCATCTGTGTATTCCAAAGCACTCTACAGTAGACTGTATAAGATTATTTGGCTTCATCTTTATTAATACTCTGTTGAACAAACGTGCATTTCTTTGCAACATAGCCTGTATGTCTGTGTGAAGGTGCCTTGGATTCCTGTGGACCCTCTGAGCCCTGACTATGAGCGTTACCCAGAGTACAGGCAGGCCAGACCTCTGAGCTGTACAGTGAGAGCTGGGGAGATGCTCTTCCTACCTGCGCTGTGGTTCCACCACGTCAGGCAGTCTCATGGCTGCATTGCAGGTACAAGGGCGAGTCGAATTTAAGAAAAGCGTGAAGTTAGCGAGAGTAGTTATTTGGGTTAGTTGTTCTGTTCAGACACTTGTATTGCAAGCTACTATAAATTGAAGTGAGACAATGATGCTGAATAGATCAAAGCTACCCATGTTATGAGTGAAACTTCTTTTTACTTAATGTTGGAACTACTTTTTTTATCTAGGCACATAAATCTAAGTCTCATATTCCACTCCCATTGTACCAATGCTGCTCAGGCCAGTGGTTAATAGTCATCTCTTTCTTTCCCTGATTTGACAGCTAGAAAGACAGCTTTTGAAAGTTGGACAGTGCCACTGTTCAGTAGAAAAGGTCAAAGAAACAAAGCTAGAGCACGTTTAGTACTCACCTGTACAAGTCAGACATGTTTTACCCTCTATATCGCACTGAAATAAAACCCATCCATCTTGGAGGATAAGAGAATACTGATAGTATATCCAAAACCACAGTTTCACTAGGTTAATTTATTGGAGTTGCACAGTGTGTGGAATCTTTTGATTAGAACTAAGCTTGTGTTAGAGGTAACTAAATGATTAATTTACAGGTAGTATTGTCTCAGTACATGTTCTACTGTTAGATCTTGGGATGTTTTGTATATTAAAAATTGGTGACGTGTTAACAGTGGAGGAAACAAGAGACCATTAAATTGTCAATTTTCTTGAGTGATTTTGACAAAGTAATTGACTAGTCATACATGCTGTTACTCCTATCTAGAATTAGGGCTAGCAATGTCATCTCACGAACTGATACTTTTTTGTAAAATAGAGTCTAAAAAATCCCAACTATTGTTTTTTTTTCCTTTGCAGTCAATTTCTGGTATGACATGGAGTTTGATATCAAGTATAACTACTTCCAGCTGTTGGATTCCCTGTCCAGGGCAGTTGGTCAGCTGGAGAAAGACTGAAGGAAGATATCCCCCTAATGGAATTCCACAAGACCCTCTTTGAGCCACTTCATGAACTGGCTAAACAGCAAATCCTGTTGAGGACACCTCCAGACAACCTCATGTGCTTTCCTGTTGTCTTTCAAATGTCAGACTTCCTATTATTAAAACAAACAGAGGCAGGCCTGTTTTAAGTATGAATGGAAAAAATGACAACAGTGGTATTCCAGTTGATATCAGCTATGCAAAGAATAACTTATACATTTCAATAATTTTTTAGAAGTCATATTATGTAGTACTTCACTACATACTGTCCTTTTTTGACTGTTAGCCACATACCAGGATCATTGTAACCGTGTACTATGACTTCAGAGTGAATTCCAGCCTACGAACTCATGCAGATGCCTTCTTTTATCATCACTAGTATCAGGATCATGTGAAACACAAGAAAGAAGAGTAATAAATATTTATTTTTTTTAAGAGAATCTTGAGGGATATACAGTACAAACACTATGAAGGTAGAAACACTGTTTAAGCCAGCGTGAGAACAGTAACACAGCTTAAAATAGGCTGCCTAAAAAAGACAATTGTTCCTGGTCCACCATAAACAAAGTATTAAGACAAAGTCAGAAAGTAATGGGGAGGTTTAAAACTGAAAACCAAGACCTCTTTTAGCTTCTTTAGGAATAATGCGAATACCCTCATACAATAAATGGGTCATTACATCACCATGCTGTCTTGTGTAATTGCTCTTTCCCCATGCTTTAGTCTTCATGCATTAGAGAATCAAGGTACCTGTTTGTCATGGCTTTCTTAATACTGAACTAATAATTACAACCCTGTCTGTAGGGTGCCTCAAATTTATTTGGTATTTTTAGATTTTATACTCTGGTTTTGTCTCCTCCCTGGGAGACAGTCTGATACCTGCATGGAGAGAGTGCTGAAGGAATTGTTCCATTCTGTATGAGATTTATCCCTTTCATTTGGAAGAGGAATGTAAGCTTCATTTTTGCTCCTGATTCTATGCATTTTATCAGCCAGTAACAGAGTTCTGTAATAAGCCCAAAAGAACTACAGACTGCAGAGCAGGAATGCCACACCTGTTTAAAAATACCCACACAAAGACACAGCTACTACAGGTCCATCTAAAATAAAGTGTTAAGACAAAGTAATAAAATCATGTGGAATTTTAAAAGGGATAAAGTATGATGGTTATTAATTGGAGCAAACTGCGGGCAGCATACCTGGGTAAAGTTTGAGGTCAGGAAGCCACAGGGCCTTATTTAAGGGCCCCACTGTACAGAATAGTGACACATACCAATGCTACTCTGCTACACCATTCTGAAGACCTGCATTGTGCTGGTGATTTTTCACGGTGTCTCAAAGCCAGTTTTGGAGCACGCCAAGATCTTGGTGCTAATTATAGTTCACAGCACAGCCTGTTTAGTTTTTGAATGCCTTCCCCCAGACATTTTCACTTGTATACCAATACTCACAGGGAAAAAACAGGCCAACAGAACCAGGGCTGGCCAGGCAAAACAGTTATTTAGTGAAGTTTACTGCATAGCTGTGGTCTTTAGCATATAGTGCCAAACTTGTGCCAAGTGCTGTAAGTATAGGCTTAAATAGAAAATGTGAAACCTAACATGGAATCTCTCCAATATAATGTTACTGTAGAATCTGAGGTTGTTAAGATTGTATCACTTTGTAGCACAGCAGCAGGCAAGACATGGTTATAGAAATTGCTGGCAGTGATATAAAACTATGGCTGCACAGTGCCACTTTTGCTACAGTTACATTCTTATTGGGAGAAAATGTGGGTGTTTATGGGTCCAAATGAAAATACAATTTTGGGTCTCCTGAGAAGCCAAAAACACAGGAAGAATGGTGTTTATATAAACTCAGTCCAATTTAGAAGCAATCTGTACTTCAACTAGCCTACCACATGATCTTGCGGTTAGAAAAGTGTTGTAAAGTGCATCTCAGAGGTTTAGAAACCATGACCATACATAGACAACAGGGAGTCTGTGCAGCGTCATGGCTCCCATTATAAATTTATGTTTATGCAGATTCTCATGGAGTTAGTGACAGTGTTCCTTACAGAGATATTGCAGGGCTGTATACTCCCCTTTTCTGACCTCATGGACAGAGATGCGCAGTACTGAAGTTAGGTGGAATGAGGAATTAATAGAGGTTGTCGTCAACCATGGAGTAATTGGGTAAATGACAGGCACATTGGCTGACAAAATATTTTGCCAGGTGCAATAGAGGTGTATGCATACGGTACAGTCTACAAAACCTTTGCTTTGGGTTATTAATACAATGGAAGATTTTTCTGTTCCAGCGATTCTAGCTGTCTCAATTCTGTTATACAAGTGATACCCCCACAAGAGTCACCACATCTCCCTAATTAACCCCAAAGCCAATCCCTTCTTCGGTAGGGTACATTCTTCAGTCAGTGACAGAGGCAGGTCCGTGTCCATTTCAGTTTTCCTTTGCTGTGGTACAATCCTGTATTTCAATTGTCTCTAACCCTAGATAATATGTTCATTTCAGTGTCCCTTTTAGGTCTCACTAAAATACAGTATCTTTCCTCAAATTACATGTTAGGGATGAGCTTTTCAGGTCCAACTCCTATACAGATTTCCTCTAAAGAGGGTAGCTGACATGCATTGTGTATAATAGATAAATTCCAGGAATTGATACATCCTGTATTAAATAGCAGTGCAAGAGAATGTTGCTGGTAAGTTATTAAGGCACCTAGTTCCTTGAGACACACGTGGTCAGCACTGTGAACATCATTTATATGCTGAAGATGAATGTAAAAACAGACAGATTTTTGTTACTGAAAATGACCCATTTCGGATTCAAGAAAGAGTATGGAAATCATTTAAGATTTACAGCTCTAAATGCCAGGATTCGTAACCATTGTGGTCTTTCCAACTTTAAATCTAATGCAGAAAGCTATCCTATCAGTTAGGATCTCTATTTTTCATATGCCTGCAAAGCTCACCTTTCTAATGATATTGAAAGGATATTTGCTATCCTATTCTCACCCAAATCATAACAGGATTGGGATTTTTAAACATGGTTTGCTGGCTTCACTTTTAACGTTAGCTGCCTCTCTCTGTCACTGACAAAATGTTGGAACAAGCACTTATGTCATTTACACCATTAACACCCAGTATAAAATCAAACACTATTATAAAAAAGACATGCACTGTACAATTACCCAGAAAGTACATACTACCCTATACTGAACATGGATGACAAAATTAATACGTTCAAAATTACAATGGACTTGTGAGCATTTAAAACGGAATAAGAGTTGTGTTAAAAACAATTTCAAAGTAAGAATATCTGGAGATTAAGCACTGTAAAGGGCAAATGTTTGCATTTTCTGCAGATTCTTTTGTCTTGGCCACCTGAAAGGCTGCCCTTGTAGGTCATCTGCTTGTAGTGGTATTTGGAGCCCCTCTTTTTTTGGAGTGCTGGATACTGATTATTTTTATACAGAAGGTTCAGATTCAAAAGAATCTAATATCTATGCAAGTCAAGATAAAGCGCATTTCCTCTCGTTTTTCTTTTACGCCTTCCTTAACAACATACAAAATGTTTTAAAGAGTTAAGTGTGCTCAACACAGCTCCAAGGTGCTTCCGTTAATTTGAGTTCTTTAGAGTCTGAATCTGTATGTTCTTTAGAGTCAAGCAATTCTTCCTTCTGTAGTCATTCCTTCATCTGGCCATGTGTTTCTTATTTCAGTGGACACAACCATAGATAGAGCTGATGGGTGATGAAACATCTCAATATTCATACAGTCATAGGCCATTAGACTAGCTGTAGCCTCACTTAAAACATTTTCTCACATTTTGGGAACTATTTTTTCTGAAGATAAAACAGTTTAAAAGATTTATTTCATTCAGACAGTTTGTATGCATGCACGCTGCTGGCATGTGAGTGCCAGAAGTTGCCTTGCAGCAGAAATGACCAAACATGAAGCGTTAAGAGCAGCATCCACATCCATCTTCCTTTTCATTCACTTCCATCGTGAAGCACACAACACATCCTCTGCCTTGAAGACTCCCAGTGGGCCAGTATTCTGGCTGTTCTACAGAACACCCCAACATCACTGAACACAAAAAAAACATCGTTCTCTTACCCTCAGCCTAAGTGGTCAAAGAAATATCATAGATTTTTCTTGAGAAAAATGGAAAAGGCATACTGTCCCGTTGAATGTTTATCCATCAGGAAAAATGTCTTTACCCTTTTCCATAATTTAAAATGTCATGTTAAAAAATGGATGTTGCACATCCGTTCATTAAAACTATACACAAAATAAAATACATACTAAAATAAAAGACCAAAGTGTATTGCTTGCTCCCGATCAACCATGGCTTTGTATCCTGATTAGGTGAATGGTTTTCCAGTTTATGTCACTGGAGAAGTTCGTGTTCTCCTTCTTGAACACCTTTGCCTTTACTGGTCTAATCCATGGCTTAAGAGGGTGTCTTACAACAGGGTCCTGGTCAGAGCTTGTTGTCCAGCCTCTTCTCCACAGCTTTGAGCAGCATCTCCGAGTACTGCTCCAGCAGAGCCAGGGTCCGCTCCTCGCCCACTCCCCCACCACTGCGCTGCACACACACAGCCCCAGGGTCCAGGCGCCCCCTGTCAGGCAGAGAGTCCAGCTCCGTCCGCATGGCACTGAACGCCTCGCAGAGGATCCCTGCCATCTCCCCCTGCTCTCCACTGGCACTGCTCACCTGGGCAGGACACAGAAACGCATCGCAGCATGCAACATGTCAATCAAAAACACTAGACTGCAAAAAGGCTCTTAAGATGGTGGAGTGATTTTCTTCAATTTAGCTGTGCAATCCTTTTGTGAAATCAAATAGCTATCTTTTTGCAAATGCAGTTTTACTTAGCAAACTATAGAAGCAGACTCACCATTCTGTAGAGCTCTGTGGCTTTTTGCAGACTGCTCTGCAGTTCACTGGCTACCAGCCTGCAGGTCTCCACAGTCACTGTGGGGCCTGGTAGAGAAAAGTCACACATCAGCCACTGTGACATATAAGCCTCATTTACAGAGCTATTCCTGACTCTTCACATAACATCTTTAAACAAAATGTGTTAATTCTTCCAAATCAGTTAGATGTTCTTACTTCCCCAAATATTCCCTCCTCGTGCACATATAGAAAATGTCCTTATTTTAGAACATTTATTAGTTAAGTGAATTTGCAAATAAATGGGGTGTGCAGTTCCAAATAAAATGCAGACATGCCTGAACTACTATCTCATAGGCTTAACACACATATGTCCTCCCAGTGACAGGAGTAATGATTTGAGCACACTCAACAACAAAGACAGTTCAAAGAGACAGGTGAAGAAAGCAAGAAGACAAAGACGGAAGAATAAACCAACACCACAAGTTAATGTAAAAAAGAATGAAAGAAGAAGCATGCCTCACCCATCAGGTAGTAATGGTTAATGGACGAACAAGAAGAACAGTAAATGGAAGACGTGACAGGCCAGAAACTGGAGGAAAAGAAGTGCATGGGCACAGCCAGGCGTAGAGGGAGGGTGCGAGACGACAGCATGTACGAAGAGTGGCATCGGAGCGAACCTGGGTCCACGACAGCAGGTGAGAGCAGGCAGTCTGGTCTCGCCACAAGCTCACGGGAACAATCTGGAGCCTGTAGAATCTCCTCAACACCTGCCACACTGGAATCCTTCCTCTCGTCTTTTAAATCAGGCTGCTCTGACAGGCATTCAACTTCAGTGGCACCAGCTGTCGATTGTGCTTCTATTCCAGGCTTTGCCTTGCTGAGGCTCTCTACTGCCACCTCAGGACGGACAGCTGACAGAGCAGTAACAGGCTGGACATTCACTGGGGCCACCTGGCCTTTGAGAGAAGGTGAACTCTTGTTGGGAAATACGCTCACTGGAGACCTTGGAGACCTAGGAGACCTCGGAGCCTCCTCTATGAACAGTTTGGGCTTGGCGCTGGGAGAAAAGGATGCCACAAAGGGTTTGTCTGGGAGAGTTGATGGAATGTCCAATGTCAGGTGGGGCCTGGTGCCTCCATGTTGGAGCTTGGCATGGAGGCCTTTGGGAGACTGTACACTGGGACTGTTGGCATTGAGAGTTGGCATGACAGCCGCCCGTGGTGCAGCGGAAACAGAAGAGGATGAAGATGTGGAAGAGACTATAGCAACGGGCGGTGCTACTGGCTTGCTTCTCTCCAGAGAACTGGCCTTAAAGGCCCCAACAGGAGTGTCAGAAACTCGGCGGGCCTCTGAAGCCATCTCTGTGCCTGGAGGAAAGCTGGAAACCTCACCAGATTCTCCCAGATTTAAGCTGTCACCCATGGATACAGAGCGAGACATCTTGGCCATTGAGCTGGTAGTTGGGTTCATGTAGGAGCGTGACTTCAAGGTCTTGCTCTGGCCTGCGCTGGGCAAGGGCGAGGTGGGAACAGCTGGCAGGGTCCGGCGCGGAGTAGTCTTTTGATCTTTCTCAGCAGGTAGCTGTGGTTGGGGATGGACCTCCTTGGAGGGTCTGGCTGAAACCTCAGCTGTTCAGGACAGAAAAGGGGTTAGTTCAGTATCTTCTCAATTGAAACATGAAAAGTTTTCAATTTTTACCTTTCAAGAAAAAACACAAAGACTAAAAAGTTTTATACCTCATTTAAAAGAAATCCACACTGCATTATGTTTATTTCTTAGTTACTTTTTAGAATGGAAATAGCATCTCTGAACAAAGCTTTCAAAGCATTAAATTCAAAGATTAAACATGGAGCATCATGGAAGGATGTATTCTTTCATATTATAGGGAGCTTTAGCATTAGAACAGTGTTCTGCCCTATTGTCTCACCATCTAGTGCCAGGTCATGCACTGACTGGGCCTTCCTCATGCTTTGGTTGGCACTGCACAGCTGGGGCCCTGCTGCTTTTCCTGGCTGGCCAGACCCTCTGCGAGTGTCTGTGACCGGAGATTTCTTCTTCTGAGTGACAGAGCGCAGGGCGGCCCCCTTTTCAGTAAGAGAGTCTGATTCAGCCTTCCCAGAAGATGTAATGGGCTTCTCCTCTACCTCTTCTGGCAGCCCCTCTTCCATAAGCGGCCGTACCTCGGAGATCAGGGGGCGCATAGATCCATTTGTTCCCTTTCTTTCTCCACTTGCCTTGGCCGGGAACAGAAAGGCATTTCTATGGAAAAGCAAAAATATACTACAGTACCGTGATTGAAATAATACATATTCGATTAAAACATTCCTTAAATCAGAACGCTAGATAACAGAAAGTGATTGCTATTTGAGAATCCTGATAGGAGTTTGCAGAAACAAAATCACCAGGCCACTGATTTAAAAAAAATTAAATACAAAAACGTACATTAAATTATTCTAATTTCCAAAAACACACTTTTAGTATGTCCCAATACTGCAACCTCTACATCAAGATCTGTATTACAAAGTTACACTTGGGAATGACCCAGTTACCGATATCTAGCCGGCAGTTTGCTCGAGAGGATTAATGGTTATTCTGCTTCTTATTGCGTAGTCATTTCGTGTCCTCCCTGCTGGTTCCTCCAGTGCAGGGGATGAGCTGACCCTCAACACCTACCTGCTTGCTGAGCTCTGAGACAGGAAGCGAGACGAGATGCTGGCATTCTCAGAGGTGCTCTCGGAATGCCTGGAGCTCCCTGGAGAGGGCAGGAAAGAAACACTAACTCCGTTAACACCCCGAAAAGCTTCCCCAAAGCACAATGTTAGACTCGCAACAGAAGAGACAAGAGCACGCTGGACATTGTAACAGAAAAGGGACAGCACGTTAAACTGGACATTTTTTGTGAAGCAAAACACACCGTAACGTACAAAGATAAGGTCAGGTTAGGGAGAATTATGACTTAATTAGGGAAAAGATGTGATGCTGATCCCCCTTGGCTGAGCTGTATGTGTACGGTGACAACAGAACAGCCCAGTCACTGGCAGACTCCTTTTTGTCACTTGCTGACATGAGGTTGAGCTCGTGGAGAAGACTCCATTAATGAGAGGGTCCTAGGGTCATGCCTAGGTGGATCTAGGGGATTGTCTTGTTCTCTGACAAATTTCTCAAAGAAATTAGGTGTCATCTAAGTGAGAAAGAATACTGTTCTCAAATAGCTGTATTTTTTACAGCTGCTAAAGGAAAAAAAAATACAAGCGATAGAATATTTAGAATATTTGTATATAAAATCGAATCCGCAGAAAGAAAATGTGGGCAAATCAATTTTCGGGATGCGTTGTCAAGAGTAACACCACCTCTCAAGACGCCTGTAGTACCTGTGTTGCTGTGGTCGGCCAGAGTCTCAAAGTGCTGCTTCAGAAAAGCCTCCTGATCGGGTGTCTCTGGCACGGCCCTCTCCACCACGCCCCCTACAAACTCCTCCTCCTCCTCCAGCTCCTCCCCCTCAAGTTCGGAGGAGTTGCCGTCCACGCTGAGCGGCTCCGTTGCCTCCGAGTCTGAAACAGCAGTACACGCACACATCCCACTCATCACACTCGCCAACTCGCCCCAACCTGGACGGTACTCTGAAGTCTCTCCTCCTCTTTTGGGGACCATGCAAGTCTAGGGTGATGAGCTGGCATGTGAGAGATGACCGTGGCCAATTTTCCTGACAGGATGAACCTTCTCCAGGTGCTAGATCTATAAAGGTGTTGGATCACCACCATAGAGTAGAAAATCTTTACTAAAGTATCATTATATGCTGGTACCGAGATAGGGCTGTGTTTATTCAACAATGCTATGACTTTCTCAGTTTTCACATCTTCAGTAATGAAAACAAGTGTTTAACAACACCTGACGAGGTAAGTAAAAAGGGGAAGAAAAGCACTGCTGTATAGCCCAATATCAATACAAACATTAACGTGCCTTCTGCAAGCAAATCAAATATCACATGTATACTAGGGATAGGTTTGTTTGACCAAGAGCCAGAATGTGCTGTTTCAATCATCTATAGGCAGTAGCTGGTGTGTGTATGCTGTAAGTGTTCTTAAGTCCTGACACCCTGTGTTCAGATCCCCAGCTGGGCCTCAGACCAGCAACATCTTGGCATACATTAGTAATATATTTATATGGATATATACACAAATATTATTATATCTCAGCAATGCACAGGCTGAGAAATCAGAAGGGGAGGAACCACCAAGCAGGGGTGACGCAGACAGACAGACAGATGGACAGTCAGACAGATCGGCTGGACAGCGTGTGGCTGTAGTAGGTGCAGAGTACAAGCTCAATACCCTGCACCCTTTCTCTCTGAGTAAACTTGAGTAAACTGGGGAAAATGTGGATTTGTAGGTGTGAAGAAGAGAATGCAGACTGAGGTCTCGCCTTCTCTCGGCTGATCAGGGCTGGACAGCTGGCTGCTGCAGTAATCCACTGAGCAGGCGCTGTCTGGGCTGTGCTTTTCATGGCACTCAGATCCCTGGTATCCCCTTCTCATGTGTGCCTTTGGTAACTCTTTCACCTGGTATTCACTGAAAGAGAAAAGGAGATTTGATCACCAAACCTACTGCTTTCACAATACCTGCCGTTTCAGTTATCTGCTTATTCACCTTGCTTTATTTTCCATTTAGCTTTATTTATGGCCGAAAGATGATTTAAAGTCATAAACCGATTGAAAGCTCACAACACGGTTCCTGCTTTAGTAAGTGGATTAAAACGAGCCTCTAAAACAAGGCAGGGCACGAATTCCTTTCCCCAGGAGAACGCCTGCCCCGAGCAGACCTGCCAGCGAGGCTCATGCTGTCCTCTGGTCTCTCGGGAAACAGCACGTGCTCCTCGGTCTCGGGGGTCTGTGGGCTCAGCCAGATGGAGTGTGGGCGCGGGTACAACCGCGGGCCCCTCGTCACAGAATCTTCTTCCTGCAGGGGATATTAACATGCAGGGATAAGCACAGGGAAATGTTCCACCTCTTGGACAACATGATAATACAAGAGCTGTCATTAAATTATAAAGTGCCACCCTGAAACAATATTTAATACTGACTTACAGAAACTCATTCAACTTCTGTAAATGGACTCCAATCAGACTGTTGCCTTAGTTGCCTGCCTTGACTTCACATTACCTTTTCAAATTCTTTTTTGTTTGCATCAAATTTGCATTATATTTACTGCATTATTAACTGATTGCTCCTGTACATGAATTTTTAAAAACATCTCCTATCAGAGACACAGACTCCTGAGATATAGGGTATCACAGAGCCTCCAGCCTGAGCCCTCCTCACCTCTGGCCTGACAGCCAGCAGGCTGGTGGTGCTGCCCACCACCTCATCCTCGCACAAGGGGCCTCCAGTCGGCAGACACTCATGGCTCGGGGAGTTGGGAAAAGCAAAGGACTCCAGCTGCCGCAGGTCCAACATGGACTTGACCGTCAGCTCCGTGCTGCCCATCCTTCGGGACCAGCGCCTGCGCTGCCGGGGGGGCATCTCGGACAGGCTGGCCTCTCCACGTTTAGAACCTGCTGTCCCAGTGTCCTATAGAACAGCCACACACACATCGAGCAGATTAAGAGGCAGCTTTGTATAAAATCTGATACAAACACTTTTAACCAATACAGCCACTTTAACTGCCGTTATTTGTAAGACTTCATGTACAGTTTCTCAGTCTGAGTCAATTGCCCCAAAATAAAGAATGCATTTTATTTTAAAATTAAACAACAATTTTAGTGTGACACTGAATATGAGACTAAAAACAAATCTTGGCAGCAGCCACAAGACCAGTTCTAAGAGTTCTTGATGTATTCTTAGGTACTCCTCTGTAAACAGAAATAAGTTGCTCCAGTTGTCTGTGCCACTGGAGACTGCGCAGAAGAACCCCCCACCTTCTTTGGCTCCAGAGTAGGAAGATTCAGGGAGCTCTGCTTCTCATCTGAAACATTGCCAAAGAAACGACTAGGGTTCAGAACACGGTGACCTCTGTGTACTGTGTAGACAAGTTCACATGAAACAGCTTCTTAATTCTCAGTGACAGCTTTGAATAAGAGTCCAGCATCAAGACTAACTTTAGAGTCCCACGACCTCTAAAAGTATACCAAGAGAGATATAACAATTATGGAATCATATTTGAAGCATATAACCTCTACTAAGTGGCTACTTCATACCCATCACATTACTGGACATGGTGTGTTGTACCTGTCTCCTCTGTGGGGCTGTTATCAGAGGAGATGTAAAGAGAGACCTCCTCTTCAATTCCATCTTCCTCTGCCTCTTTGTCGCTGTCTGATGATATGTTGACAATAGGGGGCGCACTGTATATCTCCCGTCTGGAACGGTACAGGAGGTGTCATGAATGAGGACACACTGAAAGTTTGGGATACACAGTATGGCTGAGGTGTTGATCATGTTTGAATTTCTATGTCTCTGTGTGGATGAGTGACACACAGACCTATATCTAATGACTGCATTATATCTGTAAATAGGAGCATGGGATAAGATCATTCAAAACTCATTTGTGCATTGACAGTACCTGAGAGCAGAGTGCCTGCGAGGGGATGTTTTCTGTGCCAGCCTGCCCTTCTGTTTGAGCTCAGACAGGCGCTGTCTCATGCTGATGGTCAGCTCAGGGTTCAGACGCCAGACAAATATACAGCTGTGGGAAGACAAGCACTATCAATTCACAGCTTTATTTCAAACAAGGCAGATGAAATTGAGGTATTTAACTCAAGACCTGTAGGGAACTTGGCAAGATTGAACACTTCAAAACACAACAAAATTTTAACTTAACCAAATCAATTGATAAAGTGGACAACATAAAAGAATGATGAAATTACAGTAGCTTCCTCTAGTGATAACGCAACCCCATTGGGACTGTACCTGTCTCCTGAGACTGAGACAAGGTGTTTGCAGTCATTGGTGAACTTCATTCCAGTGACGATCTCTGGCAAGAGAAACATAACAGTCAGGATAAAGGAATCAGATTAACAAAGCTTAATTTCTTGGCCTAGTCCTGAAGTCCAGCCAGCGCATCAGAGAAAACCAGGACTTTGACAATCATAAAGACGCCAAACATAGCTGACAAGCATAGCTTTGTTGTCTTCTCTCTTTTGTACATGCAAGGGCTTTCGCTGTCAGCTTAACTGTCAATTCCAAATAGGGCGGAAGAAGGAGAAAAAAAATCCTTAGCCATCTTAAATTAAAATAGAAAATCAAAGAGTGACCAGAGGGCCCAGTGTTACCTGAGTGACCAAACATGGTGGCCACACACTCCCCAGAGCAGAAGTCAAAGATGCTGAGGTTCTTGTCTGAGCAGCTGGTGGCCACATAAAGCCCTGAGGGGTCTGTCTGCACCTGAAAGAAGAGATACCGAAAGGTAATTGCTGTCACACACACACATTTTAATTTCCCACAATGAATAGATATTCTTTGCATACTTAGGAATGCTTTTACTTGCACCTAGTCTATGTGCAAATATACATGCATGCATACACTAGAGTGTAAAAACAAACAGGCAGCAACGCAAATAAACTTGATCTGTGAAACACTAAGGACATCAAAACTGAGAGGTTAGCATGACAATTCCAAGACTAAAAGGCATTTATAAATATAATCAATGCACAAACCTCACATTAGAAATTAATATGGGATTTGAAAGTAAATAAGTGTGTGGTATCTATTTATATAGCAATGCTTCTTGCCTTGATGAGTGTCCCATCCTCTCCCTGAGATCCTTTATACAGCTTTTTTTGTTTGCCGTTGCTGATATTGAAGATCCTGCAAGGGAGGGGTACATTTCAGCTTCTTGTGCTCATGATTATGCTCACACTGATACTAGATGGGTAGAGAATGCCTCTGTACTTGCAGCTTTGAAAGAGGATTATCTCTTCAACCTTGTAATATTCGGTTTACAGGTAATGCTTTATACAAATTTACTTCTCAGAATGCTAATCATTTAACAGTGACCCATGATCTCACAGTCTGGTCTGATCCTCCTTTCACTCATCAGATCTCACCAGACATTGTTGTCAAATGTGCTGAGACCAGAAAAAATTAGATCAACCACGCTGATCTTCTTAACCTTAATGACGTAAGACCAGCAGGGGTCGCTGTGACACAGACATCTACAACAGCAGGAAATCCCTTCCATAAGTCCTGGGAACACTAATTATGCCCTTTATAATGCCAGGAAAGACCTATAACTGTGCCAAGTCACGACTGAAGCTGGCTCTGTTCCAAAGCTTATAACTCAACACACTTTAAATGTAATAAAATGTAGTAATACAAAACAGGAAAATTAATTTATTTCAATCATTTCTAACAACAACTATAGTCCTTTAGACAAAAAACAAAGTCCTAGTTAAATAAAGCAAATAAATAAAAAAGACACATTGCAAGAAAACTAATCACTCTAAAAAAGAACTCTTATCCCTTAGAATGACATTAGCTATTCCAGTGCTGAAATACAGATGAAGTCTGTCCTGGGGTATACTAAAGATTTGAATCCATCTCTCTACAATGCAGACACAGAGAAGCAACTAACATAGAAAGAAACAGAGAAAGTTGAAAAGCAGGAAAACAAAGAAAAGAAAACTAAGACAAACCTAGGAAGAAGAAAAGGTTAAGCTGACATGTGACAGAAAGAAAGAGCACATGAATCTCACCGTGCCTGTGCTCAGATGTTTAACACGTCTGTGTCTTAGTCTGGTCTATAGTGTTATGCGCCTGAGCACTAATCTACTTATCCTCCTTTAGCTGGCCTGCACTCCCCCTGCACTGTCCACTTCCTCCAGTAGCAGACCACTAGGTAATCAAGGCTCCACAGACCTGATGCAGCGGTCCTGGCAGCCGATGGCTGCATATTTGAAGGTTGGATCCACATCCATATCATACAGAGTGGTTTTGCGGACAATGTGATGAGTCCGAGTGAACTCTGTTCCTTCAGACGTCTGTGGGAGGAAAAAAAAAGCTGAAAGGATCTACCTGATTTAGCCAGGAGAGGGGAGTTTTGGGGAGTGTGAAGTGGAGCTCTGACAGCCCTAGCTTTACCACAGGGGGAACTGCAATAGGCCTTTGCTGAAGAGCACAAATCAATGTTAGGACCAGATGGCATATTTAAATGTAGAAACAATTTTATGTACAAAGCTTTGATACTTCTAAACAACACATTGGCTTGATTTGAAAAACGTAATATTTTGCTAATATTTCATATCACTACAGTTTTCTGTTCTGTGTTTGTCACATTCTGTAAAAGACAGACCTGCTTTTCAAACTGCTAAACGTTTCTACGGTGGATGTAATGTGTTTTCCCTCCTACAGGGGGCACTGCATATAAATATACAGTACTTCAAAGGAAAGGCCTGACCAGTAGCACGTGCAGCTAAACAGTAACCGCTGTCTCAAACGGCACTGGGCACTGACAGGGACAGCCAGAAGGCTTAGTCGACTGCAGTGTAAGTCGACAGTTATACCAGTCCTCGCAATAAAGCAGCTTCCAGGAATTAACAAACCACGTCCTAATAGCTCTAGTTTCCCTCCATTAGCACACACCACTTCAAGCTCCCCTAATCCCTGTAAGCAGGCATGTTTTTCAAGAATTCTTAAAGATGTACAAGAAGTCCTGGCATGACTAAGAAAAATATAGCAATCAAAGCTGATTTCAGTTTAGCAGCCAGTAATGGAGTGGATCTCGTGTCCTCTTGAAAAGCTTAAATTTTCATCTGATTTCATAGTAACAATGGTGAATAAAGAGTTATGCTAAGCTTTGCCTTCAACTATCAGGACACTTGTTTCTCTTGCACGGCATCATGCAGAGGCTTCTGTTAGTATATTGCTTTGTAATAGATCACCACAATTTGTAATGAAAAACAATGTCAACACTACAAGTTACTAGTCTTCTGGCTAGGAACTGAAAGGATTAATTAAGAGTTAAGAAAATTAAGAAACTTGGGAAGAAGAAAAGGTTAAGCTGACGTGATAAAAAGAAAGTGCAAATAAACGGTGATTCCAATATGCAATGAAGGCAGCCAGAGCCTTGGCACAGCTACTGATTTTTGTTTAATTAAATAGTACAGCTGGATCTGCACTATGAAGCAAACAAGAAAAACAGAATGTCAATTTATCAGACATCTTTAATTAAATAAAGTTTTCTCTATACTATAATGCTTTTATCCGGTTGCAAATTTCACAAACATGTCTTACAACTAACACAGCCAGGAGGGTAGTTCATTGTGTGTCAGTCCTATTACCACAAATGTATTGAAAAATGGTCAAAGCCTTCTATCTGCACAGTTATTTGACTCAGTAATGTATAAGCCCTTTCTTATGGATTCCAAAACTGAACTGGGCTTGCTTATCACAATACAGACTGGAAGAATATAAGCACAATTATTCACATGCATATATGCAGAGTCTATTTAAGGACCTTAGTAACTAGCTTTCAAAGGAAGATGGTGAATAGCCCAGTTCAGTGCCTGCAACACACTCCCTCTGCAGAGCTAGAATGCATTTTAAATGGTGCTTGTGTGTATTTAAAGAACTGGGTCCTTACAGCAAATGCATAGAAGGCACTTTGTAAGTTTTTATTCAGAGTACTCTGCTTTGGCAATAGAAGATCTTAGCAGAGACTGATGCCAATTTTCCAACAGCCCTGTTTTTTCAGAAATGATTTTTTTCCAGCAGGACAGTCCTATGAGAGAGCCTGTAGTGACAGTGTTTCAGGAAGCAGCAGAGCCTAGCTTCTCTGGTAGTGGTAAAGCATTACACAATCATAGACCCACAGAATTTGGTGCTACCAACCCAACATGCTCCATTAAATGAACTGAGTTTTCTAGAGAGCTGGAAGATCAAACATGCAGCTATTTAATTAAATGCCTATTAAATCCATAAAGTATTTGTCCACTCTTGAATGTCTTTTCCAAGTTTCCGAGTGTAATGAGCCCCCTTCTGTAACACTCCTCTATATCTCTGTCAATCTAGCATTCGTGCAGCACGTTCACTGCTGGTCTTTCTGCATTTTGTGTTGGATTGGCAGCACCAAGCCATCGGAAAGGTACCTTCTGTGCTGTGCGGAAGTAGACGCTCTTGTCAGCTCCACAGCTTATCATTCTGACTTTGCCGTCATTGGCTGTGAGGAGAAAAAACAGTTGCCGTGGTGATGAGATGTGCTCATAACAGAACACTGGTCTTGAAGTGCAGTTTTGCCGGCTAAGCAACAAATAGCTGGCATCTAGACAGCAGTATTGAGCTATAAAAATATAATGGCTCCAGAAGAAAAGGCTTGGCAGAAACTCAAGCAGCTAAAATATAAACCCCTCAGACACACTTTTGTATTCTTTTCAAACTCCATGTGACTTTCAATTTATTAGGGATTAACTTGTCGCTTGTCACACTGAAAGAACATGGAAAAAATCTTGCCAAAATGTCCAAAAATAAAGTCAGGAATTTTTAGTATGACAAATAAAAAAAAATGCAATGACAGAAACTACCTGACACAGTATAAGGGTATCCCATTGAGTTTTTACTGTTAGGTGAATCCTTGTATAAATGACAGACCGAGGGGTGTGCTTATACGCAGTGTAAACATCTAGGCATTTCTCATAGCTCCACAATGTATATGAAAGGTCTGTGTACTTCCTGTGTATTGAGCCATTATGTTGACATTCCTGATGTGTTCGAGTGCCAAGCACACTGTATGAAAGCACTCACAGATGTGTGCTGACTGTACCGGTAGGAGGATTTGTGTGCATCAAGAATGTGTGCTAGAGTCCCACCAGCAAATTTGACAGCAGTGATGGAGGAGGAGTGGTCATCCAGGGTCTGCAGCAGGCTGTAGCCCCTCTCTGCGTCCAGCACGTGGATCAGGCGGTCCCGGCTCGCCGTGGCCAGCAGATTCAGCCCTGTCACACACACACAAACCTCCCAGCATCACCGCCTGCGCCGCGGCAGGACCTGGGATGCTCACCGACATTTTAAGACACGTTGAATTTCAAACATTTTAAATAAATTACTCACCTTTCGCTCTGCCAGCACAAACAGATTTAGTATTAAAAACAAATAGTGCTGTTTATCAGTTTAGCACAAGCACAGTGAATGTTCATGAATCACAGAGTTAGGTGGAGGTTAATGACTCACTGCAAAACCTTGTTTTCTTAACTCAAGAGACTAAGGGAAAGAAGATTACTTAAATATCGATCACAGTTTAAGGGGAAAAAAACGTGTGTACTGACAAGTCCATCTCCTAAACAAATCACTGAGGTAATGGAAAAAGAAAAACTACAACCTGCAAACAGACCCCAGGAGCCTTGCCCTTCCCCCATTGCCCAGCATATGGTGTCCATATGGCAGTGACAGTTACTGCAAACAGGCTACCTAGAGAAAGAGTCTATTAAGGGATTCTTCGCTACACAGTACAAATTCAGGTACTGCTCTCAGACCCAGATCTCAATGTGGAGAATTGTTGTGATTATATATTGACTGGCGTGGAAATGCTATTGGTTCCAAGCCATTTTTTTAAATTAAACCAATCACAGTTGGCTAGGGACATGACCAACGATCAAAACCCTCATATATTCAGTGCCACTCATACAGCTCGACCTATATGAGGGTTCAGGCAGGCTTTACTAAGATGCGTAAAAAGCTGCTCTAGAATTTCTAAAGCCTATTCGTATATATACTTAAGGCGGAATCACTGGCCTGTACATATTTAATATTTATCCATTTGATGAAACAAAACTGAAATCACTGGGTTTAGGATCTTGTCTATTTTAATAAGAAATACACAAGAATACATAGTGCTTCCTCAAATCATGTTGTTTCTGTTGGGTATTATTTGACCAATCGTGGTAGACAGCTCTATTTTAATATTTAGTTCACTTTGGCACTGTGCAACACAAACTTTTCCAGTTCAGAAACCTACATATTTCATAAGAACTGTGCTTTTTATTTTGTGCAGACCCCAGGACGTAAAAACTCTCCATCATATCTAGTTATAGCCACCTACTCAAGTAAACATAGGATTACTTTTGTTCAAAATTTCATTCTCAATAGTTTCCAGAGAAAGATGTTAAAAAAGCTCTTATGTTTCCAAAACTGTAATGACACTACAATACTGAGCCACCTTTCCAACAGGTCAAGACTCATAACAGTTCGTGCTCATTTTAAACAAGGTTTTCTCATATTTCTAGAAAAGACAAAAGGCTGGAGAGAGGAAAGCGCAGACACAATGGAGGGCTACCAACTCCTCCAGCAGTGGGAGTCTGCAGGTGAGAGAAGGAAAAGCCCCTGTGGAATCAGGACTTACAGGCCTGTGGGTCTCCAAGGGTTATTCTTGACTAAAGTAGTACCAGCAACTCTGCCAGCTGAGCCGTGTCAACTGGCAGACAGAATTAGACACCATAAAATAAAAAAGACATTAATACCCAGAGCAAGCAAGCTCTGACAGTTACAGCCACTTAACAAGAGATTCAAAGAGAGGGAGAGCTGTGCTGGACAGCTGCCACCTTTGACCCCCAGCACACCAGAGCTGTGTGGGGAGGAGCCTCTTCTACAGTAAACTTGCCTTTCTGCAAGACTAAGGATCACACTCCATTAAACAAGGAGAGGCTGCACCTCGAATAACGCCTTCGGCACTTACAGTATTTCACATTGCAAAAACAGCACAAAACAACAAGGCCGCCGCAACAACCGGTCCCGTTGCCGCCCCAACTCCCAAACAACCCAAAGTTATTGTGATCTTCCATTTCAGAGTCCAACAGGAATGCGAATGAATGCAAATAGGAGTGAACTTCAATGTATCAGCAAAAATTGTATTTTTTACCACTATATACAGATACTATTCTATTACCAATTCACCTCTAAAAATAGCTAATAAGCTGACTTTTTTGTGTCTCAGTGCAATTCTGAGGAAACCAGATGTGTTTACAGAAGGCTGTTTTCGAGCCCCAGATGAACAGAAATGGGAGGGAAAGTGAGATGCAGAGATACTGCGTCTTCCTGTAGATGCGGACGTGTTTGAAATTGGTGCTGTGGGCGGAGGTTTCTCATGAGCCTGGCGATTAAGACAATCGGTAGAGGAAATGGAGTGTCGGAGGCTCAAGTTACGCCAGAGGTCTCACCTGTCTCGGGTTTGGAGTACTCCAGGCACAGGATCTCCGAGTCATGAGCCTCCACCTTCAGGATCTCCCCCATGCTCTGGAGCTCATGGATTCTGCAACATAGCACAGCCAGGCTCACGCACAGCAAACTAGCACCCTTGTTCATTCACACCTTACACAGCAGCGCAATAACGTGCCCTCCTGAACTCTGCTGAGGGGATGCTTCTCAGCTACAAACACCAGGCTGACTCTCCTAATATGAATATGGCCCAACTAGGAACCATGTTTCAGCCAAACATTAATTATTTTGCATTGTATATACATGTTCTTTATATGGACATGTTCTATTTTTTCACACAAGGCTTCTGTATGTTGGCTGATTTTTTTGTTTCATAAATAATGACAAAGTAAAATTTGTGTGTGTGGTTTGTTACATGAGGTTGGGGAGGAGTTGGTAAAGATCAGATATATCTAAATAGGTAAAACCACAGAATTGTAAGGAGGTGTACTTTCTTTTTCAATTCACTGTCTGTGGCAAGTATGTAATAAAGAACTCTGCAATAGCACCTCTCTGAGGACAGAAAGCAGTAGGATACCTGAGAGTCCCAGTCCGATCCCCTGATGCTAAGTGCTGGCCATCGGGGCTGACACACACAGTCCTGATGCCACTCCTGTTGTCAGAGGTCTGGAAATCTGGTTTTTCTGTATTACCCATGGCGGTGCACTCAGTGTCCAGCAGGGAGGCAGTATTGTTGTCCATATAGATCATTTTCAGGAGGTCCTGGACATATAGGGACACAGAAAAACATAGGGTCAGTTTTTTGTTAACAACTGTGTCGCAATAAGACCATGACATATGGGAAGAGATACTGAAACTTTCACTACCATAAGAAGCTAAGTAAACTAATGTCAGAATCTACCTACGATTCTTCGAATACACAATTGACTAAAAAAATCAATCTAAAACCTAGACATTTTAATTTAACTATGGGCCATTATTCTTTAAACAAATCTTCAAAGACAAAAGAAGGCAGCAAATGATTCTTTGCTGGTTTCCTGAGCTCAAATTCTGAAAATGGAATGATCTTTATCTCGGACGTTGATCTTTGAAGAGTTCTCCAATGCAGCAATCAAAACTGAATCACTTCCTCAGTCACTGTTTAGAAATGCTTCTCCAGACATGTTATGATGAATCACAACATTCTGAGCAGCAATTTTCCTCCCCCCTCCAATCCTGCACCAGCACAGGATTTATACTCATTCACTTTTACACACTTTTGTAAAGAGGTCCACAGAAAGTGACCACAAACACTGTACACGTCAGACTGCGATGACAGCCCACTTTGGTTTAATCTCTCTGTCATTCCTGACTGTGTTTTCATTGCTTGGCCATGTTGATGGGTAAATGTTTCATATAGTGTGAGACAGTGAGTTGTACTGGAGGGGCTGGCAGACTCACATTGCTGATGACATTGCGGGTGAGAGTGGCACTGTGCCCATCTATGTTCCAAAGCCGTATGGTGTTGTCAGAAGAGCAGCTGAAGAAGGAGCCAGGGGAGAGGCAGGCTTGAGCACTGTCACTCACTTCTGGGTACACCTGACACACAGAGACATGGCTGTCAATTCAGCACAGCACCACAAACAGTGCAAAAGCCTGTCGCACATCACTACAGCACAAAGGGCATACAGCTCATGGACATACTGAACAGAAATAGTTAGAAGTACACACACAGCACTGTCCCACAATCCTCCATTCTTGCAATAAGACTGATTGGGCTGATGCCGATCTTACCTCTACGCTCCACACACAGGCAGCGTGGTAAAGTGCTGAATACACCTTGCCCACTTTCCGAAGATCGCGCACATCCCACGTGTACAGGCTGTGGTCGTTGTACACACAGGACAGCCAGCGGTTTGTGGGGTCATAGGTCACCGCCACCGTGTCCGGGTAACGAGCATCCAGCTTGTAGGAGAAGAGGTGACTGGCAAGAGGGGAGAGGGCATAGGTAGCGTTGTTGACCGATGACCCGAAAGACAAGTAAACTATACTAGCAGCAGCATGCTGAGGAACAAAAGCACACCAGACAGAAATGACCAAACCCAAACACCCACCCCCTTTTATTTCGGTTAGTGCTTCTTTCCCTTGAAAAAAGGTGTTGAAAACACTCCAAACGTAATATCTACTCAACGACTCATGAAAAACATTAACTTGTAGTACTATACTGACTAACAGTATGTCTAATCACAGAACTTACACACCAGATTTTACTATTATTGAAAATTATACCAGCATTCTAAAAGATGCTCAGCCTAGTGCTTTAGTTAAATGATGTTAATACATAACAACCACTGAAATAGATATGAATCGAGATAAGATCTATGCAGATAAATTGCTTGCATAAATAACTGCCAGTAAGGATCCATGAATATTACAGAGACTACTGTACAAAGAATGACTTGTGGTAGTCTCTATTCTAAGGGAGAATGCACTGATTATCAGAAAACATTCAGGTAACATGCCAGAAGTGCTTTTCATGCTTATCTACAAGGGGAAATTGACAAGAAATTCTCAATAGCCCTTCAAGAGTCTTGAAAAACAACAACAGATTTCAAAAATCCCTAGTGGACAGTATGGAATTCTAAGCAGTTGTAATCTCTTTATAATTCAAGCAAAACCCACATATGTCCTGCATAAATAATGAAAAAGGGAGGAATTGTTTTGCTTTTTATTGAAAGTATTCATACTTGCATCCTGTTGGGCCGAGTCAGATTCCACACAGCCCACAGAATGCCACACTAGCCAGGTCCTGGAATCAGCACCAGGACTAAGTATGCATTGTGTTAAATCTCATTAGAACAGCTCATTCTGAATCAAAGACCTCCATTCAAAAACATACTTCTTAAATGGCTTATGATTAATGCCAACTGTATTTCCTTCTTTTCTTTTTTGTCCTGGCAATTATGACTGGGTTCAAAAAGAAATTCTGACAAAGAGGATATGAAAAAGGGAAGCATATCAATGTGGCACAGCAATGCACCACAGAACGCACAAAACCAGGTGAGCTTGTGTTCTACTGTCAATTTCCTGGCAATCACTTGGAGAAGTGCGTTATAAAATTATGCTTTTGAACTCACAAGTAGACATTACAAAAATAAAAAAGATGAAAGAACATACTAATTGAATTATTTCATTGGTCAATATGGACGTATGCTACGGGTTCTGAACAGCACAGGCAGTTGTTCAAGACACAAGGTGAGATCCTATGGTCCAGCCATTAATGACAATACTTGACTGTGTCTGGAGTTCCCCAATTGGCAGAGCACAACTGTCGCAGTACTACTGGAATTTGGGGCGGTAAGATGTGCCTGGATTTCCTCAATTTACTACACAGCAGTGATTCCTGGGACCAGCAAGATTTCTGTGATGCCAGGAAGAGACTGACCACTCCTCCAACCAGAACTCACTCACCTGTAAGGCAATGTGGGGCTGGCAGTGTATCTACACAAGCAACAAGGGTGGAATTACTAGACTTTTATACCTTATTCAGGGCTCCGATCTCTCAATATAACCGCTAACACCCCGCTAGTTCCCCACTAACCAACAAGCAGCCTTAGCCTCTCACTTTGAAAAGTGGCATCTTAATCTAGCCCAATCCTGCCCCAAACCGCTCACCTGGCCTCAGTCACTGTCACAATGTCAGTCCCAAGGCTGTGTGGCCTGGGCAGAGTGCAGATGAAGTGCAGGTTGATGGGATTGAACGCTCGGACCGTCCCGTCGGCACAGCCGCAGAATATGAACTCTTCGCTCACCGAGATGGAGGTGGCCAGGCTTGTCTGGAGGAATAAGAGCCATGTTATACTTGGCAAACCTCTACAGGGGATAATTACTCAAGGAAATGAAGGTGAAAGGGTAGTGTACAAAGAAATGTGTACTACCTGCATAGGTAATACCTTAAAAAATGGCAATGCATATTTACTGTAGTGATCCCAATAGACTAAAGTATTGCCAATGCTGGTGGCTCATGTTTCTAGTTCCAGGTCAAGGATGAGAACCAGAACCCAAGACTACTCATTTCTAACTGCATTCTATTCTTGCAACAGAACAAGCCTAATAAAGGGTGTAAATAATGATTTCAGTGCTGGTGACTGTTCCTTTACATGTCCACAGAAGTTTGTGTGTGAATATGCTTGTCTGGGAGTCACCTTTCAACTGCAGTTTATTTTGAATCAGTGGACAGAGACTTTTAATTGAGATAATTAATGTCTTATGATGAGGATCTTTACCTATGCAGCTATAAACACCCTGAAAAAAAGAACACTGCTCATGGTTTCTCAAGTGCAAGGACCTAGGACGTTCAGTGAACAATTACAAAATTAAGATAATCAAATGCCCTGCTGGAATGCATCTTTCATGTGATAGTTTGGACTTGTGAACAGGGTTGCATTGTCTGCTCTCCTAAGTTGGCTCTCACTACCCATTAACCACTACTACAATGGCCTGATTGTGCGTTACTCACTGCCTTAGACATGACCAAATTTGCTTCACTTCACCACAACACAGAATGTGCTTGTCCAGATGACCTAGATCACCCAGGAGAATTCCTACGCTGGAACTGAATATATGTTGTGTCTCTGGGGAACCAGGCTCACCTCTTCAAAGAGAATTCACAAGAGACCTCATTCTAGGCCACTATATGAATCCACAGAGTTATCATCAATCACTCTAAAATTATAGTTCAGGTGGGTAGCTGCGTCAGCATGCGTAGGCTGCAAAGGAACAAGTAATAGGTTTATTCCATGCTGAAAAAAAGAAGAAAGAGAACACAACGTTTCGGCCGTGGAGCCTTCTTCAGGTGTCTGACACCTGAAGAAGGCTCCACAGCCGAAACGTTGTGTTCTCTTTCTTCTTTTTTTCAGCATGGAATAAACCTGTTACTTGTTCCTTTGCACTCTAAAATTATTCCTGATATTGGAGCTCCTGTGTGGCTCGCCCTGTTACACTAGTCAGGTCAGTTGCATGGTTACAACATTAGCCAAATGGGAATGTGATTCCCTAGCAGGGACATGAAAGATGGGTAGGTGTAAGTTGGCTGGAGTACCCTGGCAAATGGCGGCTTGCCACACACCTGATAGTTTCTAGATGAAGCTGCAGTGACACTGGGACAAGAACAGGAAGCATGACAACATATTTTGGAAGATGCCTGTACATTCCTATCTCCTGAGTGGGGTACAAGAGTTGTGGTAGTAAGCTGAGGTAATTAAAAATTGGTGATTCCAGTAAAATACAGTATGATGTCCTGCACACTGCAAGTCCAGGGCAAAGGAGTGGGGATGAATGATAGTATGTATGCAAAAGGTGTTGAGGTGGACACTCCAGGAAACACTTCTGAAAGTGCAGACTGATGATCAATGGGAGGTGGCATGGGAGTGGTACCAGTTGGCGAGGTAGTGACTAAGCTTCGACTTACTGTGATACTGTCTGTGTTCTGCTCAGTGTGAAAAGAGAAGAAGCAGAACAGACCAAAATTAGATAGTGGAGTTAATACCTTGTGAGTCTTCCAAGGCTACTGTGGATTCAACCTGAATATATAGATATATGCACACTTTAGTCAACAATTTTGCAAAGAGCACCGAATCATTTGAAGAGTGTTTATAGTGAACAAAAGGAAATAGTCTTAAAATTTATTAAACCCATCTTTCTTAATATAACCAAGTCATGTTCTTTCATCAATCCAATGATTCTATTTAAGAGAGCAATGAAACTCCTGCAGATGAAGATGTCCCTGGGGGCAAGGCACACTCACCCGCAGTTCCACCCACTTGTCCAATAGTCTCTTGTCATTGAACTCGCACAGCAGGCCGGAGGAGGTGATAACAAAGGTGCTTTCTGCCTTGCGCCCGCGCCCACAGGCCACATCACTGAAAAAGTTGTTGCGGAGTTCCCCGAGCAGACCAGAGCGGCCCAGCAGTGGCACTGTGGCATTGACCTGGACAAGACACACAAGCAAGAAGCCTGAGGAGACCGAGCAACTCACAGACAGGGATACAAAGAGGGAGGGAAAGCACGGGGTAGTGTGAAAAGAGGGACTCATTAACTAGCTGGTCTGCCTGCATTCCAAATTCTAATTAATGTCAGTTAAAAATCACATGATTAAGAAAGCTATATAAAAGCTAACAAAGACAGATGTAGTGGAGCAAACGTTTGCTGCCAAATGTATTTTAATTGTATATATATTAGTAACCCTATTAATGGATTTTCGTTTCAAAACAGATGTTTTCCATGACATATCTGAAGGTGAATGTTTTCAGTATTTTAAACCTTGCAATGCATGTCTGGTATATACATAGATTTGTGTGCTTAATGTCAAATTATCCAAATTAAAATGCTGGAGCTAGAGCTAGCATGAACAGTATATATGGCATAGTATATTCAGTCTGGCTTTGTTCTGGAGCTAGAGCTAGCATGAACAGTATATATGGCATAGTATATTCAGTCTGGCAAACTACAGTATGTTTTAGCTATAACTAAGGTTTAGGTAAGCAGGAGAGCAAACACCTTACAGTTACACCTCTGCTAGAATTATAGCTGGAAACAGCCAATGTAAATGAATCTGATGGAAAAAGACAGGGAGGGGTCGGACAGGATACACAACGATAGGTACACGAGAGGTGCACTAGGATTCCACAACTGGAAAAGTGACACTTTTCAGGGTGGAGGTGGAATTAGGTCGTCCCAAGCTCTCACAACATTCCAGCAAACACTACTTTGTGACCTGCTGGGCAAGAGCAGATTTGAGGTGACGTCAGCAGGAGATGTGCTTCTTCCCCAGACATGTCACATGATGAACATTTCTGTGTGTAAGCATGTCACATGAACATGTTGACACACTAGAGTGTACATTCACTCCAGGGCTCTCCCAAGTACACGTGTGATTGCCAGGGAGTCAAATCTTAAAAGTACTGATAGTTCCTAACTGGATAGGTATAGATCATTGGTAGTTTCAATTGTGAAAAAAGGGCAGGCAGAGACAGGCACGAGGCCAAGAAGGGCAGCTGGGAATAATTCTGAAGAAGGACTCAATTCACTCCTGCCAACACCTAGCACGGACAAGAGAGAGTCATTCACCCATATAACATCTGTAGTAATCCAATAATAGGATTATTGGATAGGGATCTGCAAATGCTTCCCAACTGTGAGCAAAACTATGTGGCAGACAAAGCTGTGTTTAAAATACTACAGATATGATAAAACAGGAGTCATCTATTGTGATTGATGGTTTGTATGAATGTACGGCAGTGGCAAACCCTCCCTGGCAGCCAACTATCCTATTCATATTGCCTAAATAACAGTAATTAAATTATTATCATGCAATTCATACAGCCTGTACTATAATACACTTTTTTTAACACTAACACATCTAAACCCAGGCATCTCCTAAGTGTGTCACATTGAACTCTAATACCTGGATTAGAACCAGATATCTCCAGAAATCTCCATGTCAATGTATGAGATCAGCAGTCTCCAAAACAAGTACAGTAAAGAAAAAGAAGACTGCTAGCTTTGGTTAGAATACAGTAATTAGTGGTCTTGCAGGATAAGAACATTTCAAGGCCGACCTACAGTCTGTGGGACTGTGGTATTAACTGGGCTACTGAATCAGCCTTCTCGTTGAAACCTGAGCTCCACTGTTTCCACAGACCACTACAGCGTGAAAACAGTCAATAACATATCAATCTGGGAACTGGGATATCACTCTGCTAATAAACTCACTTTAAAGTGTTGTGCATATGCTTTCATATGGCCCAGGTTAGTTTTGAAATAGCAGCAAGCAGGATTGAAGATTGTACAGTAAATGATGTGCAAAAGTGTATAACAGCATGTTATCTTTTTATGCAACAACAAAAGACTAAAGCTATCCCAGCAGGCAATGTTTTAATGGATGGAATACCTTGGAGGACTTTGTGTGGTCCAGGTACCAAAACTTCACATGCCTGTTACCCGCAGTGACAAAATAAGAGCTGTCCTCAGAAAATGATACTGCTGTCACCTTACTGGAGACCTTGTTGGCAGCCACCACAGCATTTTTCTGAAAAAAGAAAGAAAAAAAAGATTAATAAAGAATGTGGTACTCGAGAAGTTGTGAAACAGGCCTTTGTGCTTGACTGTGAAAGTGTACTTACTATAGATTTTTTTAGTTTGGCCTGAAAAGTGCTTACTGGCTTTCTTTTTTTGAAGTCCACAAGAGACGCCTTTGTTGTTAATGTTCACAGCTCAGTTTGTTATGTGCCTTGTGAGGACTCTTAACCAGATTATTTTTGTAAACAGAGAGCGAGAAGTCCTTGAACATACCAAAATAATTAAGAAAATTAAAACAAGTGGGTCACTCTCCTCCCCCTATTGTTTAACAGCTCTCCATTTCTTCAGAAGAATGTGTAAAAAACAAAGAAAAAGCACCCTCATGATTCACATGGCCTGTGCAGACATCCCAAAATCTGACCAAGAGTTTTATGTTGGAAAGACAAGTGAAATCAAGAGATGTAGTGTGATGAAGTGACAAAGCAAATGAGAAGAATAAAGCAGTTAAGTCAAGCTGAAGGCACACGACAGGAAAAAAAGAGACAAAATACAGAGACATACACCAAGGAGAGGGGCCTGGCATCTAGGAAGCCAAGTCATGCAAGGTTCCCACTAAGGCCAGAGAGAATCACCAGACAGAAGGGCAGGGATGACATTTAGCGATGCTGACCCCAGCAGCACAAAACACAGTGTACCCCACAAAGAGAGGCCTACCTTCCAGGCCCAAACGTTGACGATCATGTCGTGCTGGTAGCCCACGCTGACAATGTACTTGCCGTTGGGAGAAAAGGCCACGCAGGACACTCCATACTTGTGCTCCTGGATCTCCGAGACCTGGGTCCTCTCTGCCACATCCCACACCCGCACTGCTGGCATGTGCCCACTCTGAGGAGAGAGCACGGCAGGGTGTGAACGCAGGGAGACTGGCACAGGCTGCGCACGCCACTGACATTACATCATTCCGCTCTGTGGGAGTCTCAAACAAGCAACCTGGCCACACCGCTGAAGCTGAAATCCTGGCTTCTTTCAAGAAACAGCTGGTTCACATCCTAGGACCCATTGTGTTCTTTTGTTCTCATACTGTACAGGGATCAAAGATTTTAAGAACATCCACACACCAATACCAACTTTTCTCATGGTGGTAGTTGTCTCAATAGCTGCCAGCCCACTCATTTGCAGTCCTTTCTGTGAGGGGTATGTCACTGTCAAGCTGACGCAGGTAGAGAGAGACCAAAGAGAGGGGAGGTTCTCTCTAGAGAACAGGGATCAAAAGACTAATTATATTTTCCGTGTTTTTTTTGTAGTGAAATGAATACAGCTTAAACTGTACTGGCAATTGGCATATGCAGCTGGCAGATTTCCAGAGCTTTCTCCGTTTGTGTACCTTTGTGGACCAGGCTTAGGAGCACAGATAACATACAGTAGGTGGTGGGAGTGATGGCAGTAGGTAGTATTTTTTGTTCAAACTCTTTATAGAAATCCTCTTGCATTTGTGGCTTTTGCACTGCACTGGATCTCTGAGAATCTCTGTAGTCTTCTGTAATCACTCATCCTATTGCAGGCACAGTTGTTGAGGGCAAGCTGTCAATAGCCCAGTATTTAATCTGATAATTTCCTCAAGGGGAAGGAATAAGTGACCAAGGCAGCTTAGGGCAGGTCATGCTTTAGGAATGGAACAGTGAAACACAAAGGCCACCATTTCTTTAGATAGTGCAGATTATCTAGTTCTGCACTCTATTGCTCTTTGGCAGTGAGAAAGGCTTTGCTCACATTGTCATGAAATCCTGTTTTCTTTCTTTCCATTATCCTCCCAGGCTTGTCCTATTCCCTGATCCTGTTGGCAGTCAATATTATAGTTTTATAATGCAATTTTATGCAGTTTTTGAACTATTTTGAAATAGTTTTTGTTAGTGCTGTATATGTTCTGTGTTGCCACTACATAGTGAGTAGACAGGCCAAAGAAAGCATCCTGAAATGTACATTCAGTAGCAAAAGAAACAAATTGCAGCACTTTTTCCCCAGTGTTTTTTATGCTTGGCGTTTCATTTGTTTGCAATAGATTTACAGTCACAGTGAAGTGGTCTTAATGGTGCTGTTACTGTATGTAGCATGGTATTCTACATATGTATAGTTCTGCGCACTTTACAGCTTTCAGGGAGGTTAACACATTTCAACCAATCTAAATAAAAACTCGTTTAGAGTGATAGAGTGGTTGTAATGATATCTCACCCCTGCTGTGACTGTAATGAAGGGGATTAGAGGGTACATTGCAGGATCAAACAGGGCCAGTGCTTTAGTGGGGTAAAAGTGTGGGTTGGAGTGCATTAAAAAATCCCAGCAGACTGGAGGAATGAGAGATGAGCTGGCACGTGTGCCCGTGGCCGGCTGCCTGCCACTTTCCTGTGCCATTCGCTCTCTGCCTCCCTGAGTCAGGCAATGAGCTGGCATCATGCCTGGCACAACCATGGCAACCCTGAATGCATGCACTTAACCAGCTTCAATAATAATTAATTAATTAAATAATTAACATGTCATGGGCAACAAGGGTGTGGCCATGATAACAGAAAAAAGATGCACCTAGACTAGGGATTTTACTGTGCTGTAAGTCAGTTTTTTGCCTTGGGGGCAAGCCACAGCTCCTCATAGAGCATACAAACTAAAGAGCTCTCACATACACAAACACAGGGACCAAAGTGTAATAAAAATAAACAGGATTTGTACTAGAAGTTGCCAATTGTGATCATAGAAGAATTCATCATTAAAATGAAGTAGCCTGTTAGGATTCTACTGCTTTAGCAATTGTTTCATGAACACCAATTTCAAAACTAGACAGGAGTCAGGATTCTGCACATTGACTTGATTCCTGTGGTTAGAAGAGCGAGGTTAGGTACAGTTGTGGTGTATTGCTGAAATCGATGTCATAAATTAGGAAATATCGCCCCAGGTGGCAGAGAATTTACAGAGGTCAGCAAATCCTGACAGTATATTAATCGAAACATTTAGAGGAGGAATGACTCACCTCCCCTGTGACCAAGTATTTGCCATCAGGAGAGAAAGATAAAGCTGTAATTGTTTTCCTAGAAAAAAAGAAGAGAAAAACATTTTGATGAATGCTACATACAGTACCTGGTTTCCAACTTTGCATAAGCAATTTCCAGAAGAACTCAGTAGTACACAACAAAAACAATGCTGAACACATCAAAGAGCACTCATAAAGAGACTCTGAACTTTCACAAATATCAAAGTTCACACCAGTACACCAGGTGTTTCTTGGTACACGTGACTTTCTTTTTAGAAAATGTAGGCTTTTCCAATGGGTATCGATTTTGCCGACATCCATTTTGCATACATGACCTGCTAAGTAACAAAGACGACAAAGAATGCTTTAACAACTTTACTTGAAGTAATATTCTATATTCTTTCCATGCTCCTTAGTATTTACTAATTTTTTCAGAAACAAAAAGAAAATATTTGAATGTGTCCCACCAGTGTTAAAATGCCATCTGAGGCTTTGTAAAGAAAAATTTTGCTTTCAACTGATGCAAAGGGTATAAATATGAATTGTACTAAAGGAGGATTAAGAACCATGCTAGAATTAGAATTACAGTTCCACGAATATTACAGTTCCAGAAAAGTAATATTTGTACAAGACAAATCCTACGGTTTATATGGTATTGTGGTGCTATTTTGATTTTTTTTGTCAGGGTGTGGATTTGGTATAGTTTATTATAAACATGCCAAGAGCCTTAAGCTACAGAAAGAGAATACCTGGATCACACATTCTTAATTCAAGAATTTGAAACACAATCAAAGCACTAAATGAATTTTATTAGTAATTTGAAGCCTAACCCTAGCTCCACTCAAGTCCAGCTTTAGCATTAATGCAATCTTTCAATTAATGAGACAAAAAATAAAAGCACATATGGATAAAAACTATTTCTATTTATTTGCAAATGTGGGGAAAGACATATGCTATCTGGAGGTTAGGAGCACTTTACTTTTCTCCCTTCATTTCCCAGTACAAAATACTCAGTGAAAATGAGACTGGATGGGTTTAGCCTTGATTATCTGATCACAACATGCTCAATTCATTCAGGACATAAATCTATTTGATAATTCACTGCTGAGCCCCTAAGCAAGAAGCTACAGAAGTAACCGTGTAACCTTTTCTGACAAAGAGCAGGAGCTGGACATGTGCTGTGCTTATGCAGGATCTGGCATGAATCCTTGGTCTTTAAAATGCCTACTGCAATGTAATTCATCTTGTGCTGCTGCCTGGCTGTAAACAAACTCAACGGTTAAGATCCATCACGGGAGGAGATGCGAGTCCCCCTTTTATGATCATGACCAACTGAGGTGACGTGCCGTGTGTACTTCAGGGTGTGTGAATCAACATTAGGTAAGGAATCCTTCATTGAGAAGATAACACTACAGCAGATAATTTTCAATCTGCATTCTATTAATTTTGTACACCAATATGCTAGAGTGCATTTATATACACAGGGAAGTGATGCGTCATGTGCTGTAGGGTCCTCAGAGGCATGAGCTAAACAGATAATTCTGTTATTTGTGCCAGTTCAGCCCTGATTATGGAGGTTGAAGGCTCTCAGCTCCTGATGCACACAGCTTCTACCTCTAGGGAGGACCAGATTAACACAGCGATTCTACTAGACCAGGGGCAGAAAATTAGCAGAAGTCAATGTGCCTCACAACTTCTGGTCAAGTCCCCCAGAAAAGAAGTTGCTGAGGATATTAAGTGAGGTCACACTTTATACTCTTAATGTCTTTAATGTTCATATAAAGGCTTCAGAGTCAGGGGGAACCGAGTATTTCATAACAGGCTGAGCATAATTCTGGGATGTAAAATTACATTAAATACAATCAGAGCAGCAGTCAAAACATGTTGCTCCAAGACAAGCATGTGCTCCAGTATTTCTTTCTGGAAACCGTCCAGACACAAGAGAAGACTTCTCAAGTATAAAGCCCTCCTCCCAACACCCCAGGGTGTTTTGTGCCAATTCTAGAACATTATCTGTATGCATCCAAAGCAAATACACTTGGAAAACAAGAATAAGACTGTTGAATGTTGAATTCTCAAACTGATGTCTAATGAGGGACAACGTCATTCAAGGTAACCCGATTAAAACAAATTTAGATTCCTTGGTTGCCTCACCTGGAGCTGTTAAGGATGTGGTGCTGTTTATTCTTCTTCGGGTTCAGCAATACCACCACACACCTGTAGAAAAATACAGGAGACCCGGGGGTTACATAAACTGGGGAGTCTGCTCATAACAAGTCATGACACAAAACTGTCTCTTAACACTTTTTAACCTGTTGAATCCTTTGTGGATTATCGGATATCTGGAAATCACTATATGGCCGTTTCCATGACCCAAATAAGATCAGACTGAAACCAAAGTTATTTTTTTTAATTTGTAAAATTAGGTATAAATAAGTGCTTTCATTCTGTACTGGTTATATTAAACAGCGTGAAAATGTGCCTGTTGGAAATTCACAACTCGCAATTCCACCCCCTGGTGTTTTCCAAGTTATGCTTTTTAAGATGATTAGCTAATTATTCGTGACAGGAGCTTTCTTTATACTGTGGAACGAGCTCTCATTCTCCTCGTTTTCAACACGACAAACTCTCACATGCTCAATCACTCTGTCACAAGTTCTCTGCCTTGTGTCAGTTGTTAAACGCTCACCTAACCAAATATTAAGATAATACTCAAAGACTCATGAAAACCAGTATCAATCATGTTTTGTTAACTTTGTGATAACACACTGGAAGAAACTGACATGTTTTAAACAAGAAGTCAATACAAACGGTCTTATTGATGTTGTCATACCTCATAACAGCAAACTGTATCAAGAAATACAGTAATACTGTGGCCATACTCAGTTTTCAGGTTACAACATAGTATGATTCAGAATTATTTTTTAACCATTTATCGTAATTCTGATCTTAGTGACAAATGCATCTAAAATTCAAAATCGGAACACTTGCATATTTTTGAAAATACTGAAATGTCAGTTATGTCAGGTTAACACAAAATATACAATTAATATAAAATCAAAACTATATCTCACTGTTGTAAAGAAATAAGACCCATTGAACATACTGTATGGCGGTCAGACAAGATTCAGTTGCAGATGAGTATGTTATTGTAGAGTGTTCATATTTTTTAACATTTGAGCTTAACCTGAAGAGCTAAGGAAGTTCCAGCCTATAGTATCAATTGGCATTGGGCTGTATGGGGATTTTGTAATGGATAGTTTCTCTTCTGAAATTCCATGTACACAGGACTGGAAGTGAAAGAGAGAATGAAGAATGCAGGCCAGTAACATGCAAGCTCTGCTAATTAAAAACTGAACAGCATTACTAGAACGCTACAGTGTAAGTACTAAAAAGAAGTTCATATTTGTATTATATTAATTCATTGACTGAGCTGTTGAGGAGTTTCCACAGATGACCTCTAAACAAAAAACAAAGGCTCCAGTCAGTAAACACACTGCTGTCATGACACGCCACAAAACACTCAAGCTACTTTGAGCCAAGTAAAGATTTGTGCCAACGGTCACAGTAGGTGTAAATTAAGGAACTAAATTTTATGGACATTTTATGAACATAATTTTGAGCAGTTATACAACAGTGTAGAAAACTTTGAATTTCCTTTTGAAAATACTCGTTGCAAGGTATGGTGTATATACCAATTACAAATGCTTAATCAACCAAAAGTGCATGAGAAATCACAGAATTGGATACCAAGTTGCAGTTTTAACAATGTTATGTTAATGGAAAAGATTTATAAACAGGGATCAAGACGTATAACTGATCAAGGTATTTCACCTGTGATGTTAATGTACTGTATCTACAATATATGTGTGAATAGCAAAGCTCGATCACTAGGTTTGGACACTTATCTGGATGTAGGAATTCTGTCCTTGCCTCAATAATGATTGTTTTGATTTTAGGAGACGGTCGTGCCAGCTTATTTTAATTGTATGATGAGGAACTTTAAATCGAGATGCTCAATGTTACTCGTAAAAAAAACAGAAATGAAGACCGAAAATCCCTTGCATGAGGAAGTTTGACATGAACTCACACTGCCACATGCTAGGCAGTAAAAAAGAAAATTCCATCTCGCAGCAGGGGACTGGAGATCAGTTTTATCTTTCAATTTCCAAATGTAATAATCTCTTAGATACCGCAGGCTTAGATTCATCAAACAGGAAGAAGTATACAATGGAAGTGTTATCTGTTACATTGCATCGGAATTGCTTTTGCTGAAGCCCTTCTGTGCTTAAATTAATTTCTCAGAAATATGACCTCATCACTAAAGCAGAACATATTTCATTTTTACTTTTGAAATATTTTTCATTTGTTTTGAAATCTTTTCAAGGGGGTAAACTTCCTTGTAATGTGGCTTTTCATCCCTCAGCGCAAACGTTCCTCCTGAAGTGTAGTCGGTGTTTCAGTCATGTTGGCAAAGTGTCTGCAAACTCATTTCTCTATTTGGGAGCATACAGAGAAAAAAAAACATCTAAACAGGTCAAACTCTAATAAAATACCATTGACTTCTTAATCACAATGGTGTGACCATAACAACTGTACCCATTCTGCTGGATTAATATGACGTCACACTACATAAGAAAGCAGTTCTTTCTCCATTCCTCTTCACCCTCTATACTTCGGACTTTAAGTACAACTCAAAGTCATGCCACCTGCAAAAGTTCTCAGATGACTCTGCAATTGTGGGATGTATCAAGGGTGAGCAGGAGGAGGAGTACAGAGGACTGGTCAGCAGCTTTGTGGAGTGGTGTGGGGTGAACCACTTGGAACTGAATGTTACAAAGACAAAGGAACTGGTGGTAGATTTCAGGAGGAAAAAGGTCAAACCTACTCCTGTCTACATCCATGGGAGTGGCGTGGAGATGGTGGACTCGTACAAGTACCTGGGAGTGCACATCGACGATAGACTGGAATGGTCTAAGAACATCGAGGCCATCTATAAGAACGGACAGAGCCGACTTTACTTCTTGAGGAGGCTCAGGTCCTTCAATGTGTGTAGTAAGATGCTACACATGTTTTATCAGTCGGTGGTAGCGAGTGCCATTTTCTACGCAGTGGTGTGCTGGGGCTCTGGGATTAGAGCAGTAGATTCCAAAAGGCTGAACAAGCTCATCAGGAGAGCAAGCTCTGTCATTGGGTCTGACCTGGACCCCTTGGAAGTAGTGGCTGAGAGGAGAATGATGTCCAAACTAGAGGCCATCATGGACAACTTCTCCCATCCCCTCTATGACAGGCTTGCAGGAATGAAGAGCACGTTCAGCAATAGACTGATTCATCCACGGTGCGACAGGGAGCGCTACAGGAGGTCATTCTTGCAGTCTGCCATAAGACTGTACAACGCATCCACGCATATACTGGACTAAACGCATATACACATCTACTGCTACATCTGTTCTCTTTCTTTTTCTTTTTCCCGTTTACAACCACTTTTGTGCAATATATGCCAGGGACCTGTGCAATACATTTATATTTATATCTATGGTTACATCTATATTTATATTCATACGTGTGATACGATTTTCTGTGTACTGTTCTGTTCTAGTTTCCTCTTGTGTGTCCGGACTGTGAGTAACTCTTGTATTGTATTGTATGTATTGTACTATTATTATATAATTCGTTACACTGTGGCTGTGTTGTGTGTGTTAAGCTGCTGTTGCACTGCAATTTCCCTCACGGGATCAATAAAGTATCTATCTAATCATCTAATCTATAAATTACCACCCAGTGCGATGCACAAGCTGGAGACCCATTCAATTTCAATACCAAAACTCTCTGGGTTCTATGGTCATAGAGTGAATAGTGATTAGTCAAGATTTTCTTGTGATCAAGTCAGTGGTTCCTGTTGGCCAGGCCTCTCACAGCAAGGCCATGGGAGAGAGCTGAAGGAAGAGAATGACTACAGTACAACTAAATGAACCTGATATACTGGAACCAGTCGCAGTAAACCCACAAGAACTGAGCCCTAATCACTGCATAATGGTAATATGCAATCATGATAATAATAATACTACTCAATAATGATCCTGAAGTACTGGATATGGCTGAAGTGAGTTACCCTGTAAATTCACAAGACAACTTTCCAATATGTTTGAAGAAAAGTACATTAGAAAATCATTTTAATTGTACATAATGTGCACAATGTATTTGTGTATTTTGGTCTTTGAGACGTTCATTATTAGAATTCCATGCGCGACAACTGTAGCAGACAGCATCGGGCCTAAGGAACAAACTCCCACTCCCTCCAGTTTCATTTCAAACTAAATCAGCAGCTGCAGCGAAGAAGTCTGTGAAAGACAAATGGGTAAGAAGTGCTCAATAACTTTTTTTTCTAGAATATGGCCTGTCATTTCTTGCTTTCCTATATTTGAAACCCACCACATAAAAGTAAACCTCACTGATTATGTAGTTTTCCTATCATTTTCTGCAGCCAAGATTTAACACTGTTTGCGATTCCAGCTGGGCTGCATTTTTTTTAAAGTACTTCCAAAGTTGTTTTCACAACAGGACAAAGCCGGCTGTCTGATCCTGCTGCATGGCTCCATTCTGCAGATGATGAACTTATTCTAGCTGTAGCTCTGCCATCGCTCATCCACTCCTGTTACACAACGCAGACCACACCTCACTTTGCAAATGAAGAGTTTTGTACTCACTACAATAAACAACAGTTGGCAAACAGGTTAAGAAGTCATATATTGCGGACTGCAACTGACAGGCCTTAAAGTCAGACAGTCCGAACATACACGCACTGTTGTGGTAACAACATTGACTCACACAATTAAGGAGGGGGAAATGGAGAGGGATGAGTATACGGAGGGGTTGAAAAACCTTGTGGCTGGGACTCAGCACACATATATAGTGAGACTTAAAGGAATACAATATTAATTTCTAATTTAGCCCTACTGCAAATGAAAAAATAAACCAGGTCTATCTTTATCACACAGATTACACCTGTAAGACATGTGTAACGTGAAGAAAAACAGCAGTATACTCAAGAACATGGACTTTATTAGGTCTATTTACATTTGTTCTGTGTTTTGCATACTTCAATGTTTGACATGAAAATGTGCACGAGTTTCCAAAGGGCTGTGGCATATCAAGAGTCTATTTAAAATAGAGGAGTGGCAGTATCACTAAAGGGGAAGACCATACTGTCGCCTTCC